GGTGGTGGTGGTGGTGGAAAATAGGCAAGAAAAGGGGGAACATTTGCCTGTCTCACATGCGCGCCTGTGAACTAAAGGGCGTGCCTTGGGTCCCGCCCCACATATTGAGGGCTCTACATGAGCGAGTCTAGACTCCTAGTATCCCCCTNNCCCTTCATAAGCCCTACAATACTCCCCTATATAATTGCCTAGATAACCCCCTTTGAGGAGTTTAGACTAAGGCTCATACATCTATATCTATCCACATGGTACTGGGCGGCGGCAGTATCCAAGGCATGCGTGTGGACGTGAGTAGTTCGTGCATCCGAATTGAACCTGAAGGAAAGGAACATCTCGTGAGGCTAACCGTGAGATCTATATTCCTATTATACCACTACTGGGGGGGTCCACCTAGATTATAGCCATTATTACAATTATTGCCAGTATTAGTAGTATAGGATTACTCTTCTACCACTTCTACTGTACAGCGTGGGGGGGTCCACCTAATGTCTATCACTGAAGGATGCGCAGAAAAGCTCCGAGATGCAAGGAATCCTAGCACCAGGAATCTGACCGCTCTGACATGTGCATCAAGCCCGGCAACTACACAATGACCGCACATCCCCCTACTATCAAAACCCCCACCCCCCCCCCCGCCCCTCTATATCAAATACTCCCCATATAGCATAATATACCAGAATAGAATGGGAATAGGTAATACTAGGGATTACGGCACATCTTCCTGGCCTTTGCTGTGATGGAGTTTCCTTGTTTCTGCTGGCAGAAACTCATGTGCATGGATCAAACTGCCCTATAGTCCAAAGTCCTTTTCGAGGATTATATGGGAATTGTATACGGGACTATAGGGGTTATTCAGCGGGATACCAGGAACAACTATGGCTCAACTGACTCAAAACAACAACAGAGCCGCGCAGGTCCTGCAACAGACAGGTTCTTTGAGCCTCTAACTTCAAAGTTGCTGAGGCCTTCTGCTATCCACGTTGCACAGTGCGGACACAAGCTTAATTGGATGCTTGCCGGGATGCGCTTCTTTTTACCAGAGGGTGTGGGGGTAGATGCTTCGGAGGCTTCGGTAATTTCACCTGAGCACGGCATGGCAACATTGAGCTCTACCTTCTACTGTGTTCGACAGCCCATCTCAACATTGCTACTCAGTTTGCCCCCCAGAATCCCAGAAAGTTGTTGGTGAGCAGGTTAGACATGTGATTACATTGGCCATGCTTACAGCAGCCCACTGGAATATGGCCGACTCGCTGTTCAAATCAAGGTGTTTCGCCTTAAGGAAGGAATGAAACCACACTACGGCCGCCCTAGATGATGTGACATGAGGGGACCGGAACACATGAGCATCATCACTGTGCCGGGCACAAAATGGCACAAACATGTCCAAAATACTGATCTTTTGCAACATCGAGGCACCACTCTCTCCACCTCTCTGCGTCCTTTCCTCGCCGAACCTTGCGGCACCTCGAGCACGGAAACGAATGCACAACGCCACGTCAGCAAAAAAGGGTGAGAACAGCCTGAGGATTCCAAACCACCGTCATGGTGGTACTGAGCAAAAGTCTGGCAAGAGTTCAAACCTGCAGCTTTGAATGCTTGGAGCTGCATACAAGGGATCCCTCCTCTCTCGCATCGCCAAGATCAAAGCATACGGCAGGATCCCTCCTCTAAACTTCTGCGTTTCCCCTTGCTATACCACATTCACCTGTATGATGCTCAGGACCCCAGCTCTCGTGGAGAGACGTCAATCTCCAGTGGATCCAAGTGGCCCGGCGGTAGCGCAGGGCCCATGGGTATGTAAGGCATGCCTCAGCCCCATGTGGCGAGGGCTTGATTTTGCGACCGGGCTGGTCTTTCTGTACTCTTCCGCTTGTAAGCTTCACCGTCTTACCTCCGCTCGTAAGAAGATCTGGCTCACCGCGGACCAGTCTGTAAAAGAACACAGATTAAGAAGAAGCAGAATCAAAAACACACATGCTCCACAAAAAGCAAAACCCACCTCCAAGAACTACGGCCTTTGGCCTGGGAGGCCTTTTCCATTAATTGAAAAGGGCTCCCATGAAATGAGGACCCAGATGCTGTACTCGGAGTAGGCAAACCCCGGTGGAGCGACGAAGCTATCTGCGCAAGGCTTGAGAGATTCGGCTGTGTCCTTTAACAGAGTATGACAGCTTGAAAAGTTTCGCGGCAATGGGTTTACAGTTGTACTTGCGTCTGATGCAGGGCTTCAAGACCTAGCAACGTGTGTCAAGAATTTCCTTTGACCTTAACTTCGGATCCTGTTGTCCAATTGTGAGTTGTTCAAACTTCTGCAACATATCTGTCAGGGGATCTGTGTTCAACCCCAAACTGCAAGTTTCACTTTGTGTCTGAATGGTTGTGGAATCCAGATCAAGGTTGTTCAGTGTTCCTGGTCGGAAGGTTGATGAAAGGAGCGGCATCGGTCCGTTCACTAGAAGTCTTCTTTGTGGCCTGATACGCGACGAAGAAGTCATTGCAACCCTGGCCAAGATGTAATTATTCGGGGTCCGGAGGTGCATCAAACCTGGAGGGTCTTCGACACTTCCAGTCTCCACTAAGGTTTCACACTTGTCGCACATAGACCCCAAAATTCACGGACTTGCAGCCCCAGGCACGACGCGGACTCTGGCTCCCAACAGCTGTAACCCAGGCGGCTGAGGACATGGAGTTCACGCCTGACATCAATGTGAGAGTTTCTCAAGATTATGGGTCCTCTTCTTCGGAAAACCAAAGGTCTGATGATTCTAGGGCCCTCTATTTCACACACTAGTCCCTCTCCCACGCAGATAGGTGCTGACTCCTGACCTGCTGTAGTAAGGCAGCTTTCAGACACAGACGCCCCGCCTGACTCCATGCGATGCATGCCGTTGATGAGTTCCTTGAGAAGTGACCTGGGTCCGGCCAGCAATGCCTGACCCACAAAGGGGTTATATAGGGATAATATAAAAGAAAATGGCAGCTAGTATGATATAATATGGTATATTATGGGGCTATGTTGGGATCATATAGGGATAATGGAAAAGAAAATGGAAACTACCATGACGGCATTATATAGGGATTATGGGGTATATATTGAGGTTATACAGGGATAATGGAAAAGAAAATGGAAACTACTATAATGGGGTGAAACGGAGATTATAGGGGAACAGTGTGGTTTGTATAGGGATAATGGAAAAGAATATGGCAACTACATGAAACTACTATAATGGGTTATGCTGCATGCTTCTCTCGCTTACGGTACATGTGAACCTCTTCTACTGCAGAGTCCGTGGACGTTATTTCATGTCCAAGACACTTCATCCTTTCCGTCTCGGTCATATACTTTGCCACATGGTGCCTCACAGCTTGAACATGATGCGTCTGGTATAGTGCATATCAATCTCTGCCATGATATTGCGGCTACGTCACTTGATATGTTCCACTTGCTTCCTTAGCAGGGGGGAAGCAGTGCACATGAGGGCATGAGGCCTGGAATCAGGTCATGTCATGATCCTTTTATATAGAAGTTCACATGCTCACCAACTTGGACCGCATGGGTATAATCGGTATAGTGGATGAGACCATGATGTTCCAGCTGGTTGTTTAGATGATACTAGATTGTAAGCATGCCTGCTCCTCTTGCTCCACCAAGGCTCTGCATGCGCTTGATTTCCAGAGGACTTTCCGACACAGCAACCTGCCAAAGCCCCTGGCAGAACTCTTCGATGCCTGGGCGTAGGTTGGTGGCAAGAAAGAGGATGCACATCTATAGCAACTCTGGCCGCAGCCATGAGCAGCACAAAGAAACCGCAGTGCTGGCAGTACCAACACGAATGCAGGACACAGTCAATGCAGTGGAAGAACTGTCAGCAGCAGCAGCAGCAGCAGCAGCAGCAGCAGTATCGGCAGCACCCGTAGCCGCGCAGGATTCGCATGCTTCTGGGAACTGGCATCTAGTCACTTACGCAGGTTTGGACCTTTTGAAACCTGTTGGCGTATCAAAGCGCGCGCTAGCCAGGTCTAGCCCCTAGGTACGTCCACTTTCCTCAGAAAATAACAGCTCAACACGGACTGCCCATGGATTTCATGACTCAGTCTCTGGTCGTCATGCGTCTAAGAGACTGTTGGCCCAGATGAGGGTCCCATAAAACAAGATCTACCAGGCGCATATTTGCAGCGGCAGCTGCACTTGGAAGGGTTTCCCAAAATTATGGGTACCATTCTGGGGATCCCCATTGAGGTCAATATTGGGGTCCCCCTACTAGGGAACCTACCACGTGCATCTGAAGTTCCAATCTCGCCAGTCTCTTGTAGATCCAGCGCATCGAAGAGCTCCACTGCATCATCAAAGCCTCGTTGTTGGCATCATGAAAACCCCTTGCCTGCTTGGTCTTACTGGGGGTTGCTAGGGAAGAAGAGAATATATCATATAGGGTATTTATATAGGGATTATTTTCCCACTCCCTACTAACGCCCAGCAAGGCATCGTGTGTCGAACTCCAGTCAGCTCAGCGCGAGACCGGTGAGCTCTCGCAGCATCTGATGCAGACATGTGCTATGCTCAAGTTATGGAGCAGGCTTGATGGTAACAGGAATATGCTGCACAAGCTTTAACGAGCTGTGCAGGCTTTTCCACTGCTTTTCATAAACTAAAGACGTGCCAACGCATTCACTCCTATGCTCGCATCACACTCTCAGTATTTAGAGAAGCTGAGCGGGAGAATGAAACTACATTGCGTGCTCGTTTTTAATCAGCATTTTGCTCCACATGCTTATGCCCATTCTGGTGATGGAAACCAGTGCTGTACATGGTATCTTGGGTTTCGTCGGTTTGGGTTTGGCTCCGCTGGCCGAATGTTGTCTATCCAGCTCAGTAGCGAACTCCCTGGTAAAGCAGGGCACTGCACCAAAAAAGGAGACCAGGCCAATCAAACAACGCCTAGGTGTGGAGCAAGTCCGCTAAATTTCAGCATACTAAGCCTGTGGGTTTGTCACCAGTCCCGGCCTGCTGTTCTCTGGGAGCTATGGCCGCAATTTCTTCTCCTTAGGCTCAGCTGGGTGCTGTGTGGGACCCGGAATCCTCCCAAGCCAAGCCGCTGGAAACCTCTCCTGAGTTGTCGTAGTCCAGGCGGAAGAACATAGCACGTAGCTCAGCCAACACCTTCCAGGCTCATCAACACATCGGTAACTTTCTCAGTCCATCCCAAAAAGTTCAGCAGAACAATCAAAGCACCGTGGAAATTCCAGACCCCCTTTTGATATTGCTGCCGCTGTAGATCCAGCGGCTTCTGCTCCCCGTACCGCCACTGCCACAACTACAACAGCCAGCGTCAAGATCCTGAAGTGCGAAGCATGACTCTGGATTAACGGCTTCTTCTATTGCTACCCGACCCGTTCGTCATCACGTATTCGCGCCCTTCCAGCTCATGAATCCCACAGACTTAGAATAACTTAGACCTTCTTGCGGTTCTGCTCCTCGATCGATTGCCTCAGCTTATGCGAGCCATTCCAACCAGTCCTTGTGGCACTGTCTTATTGGGGGTTGGTAGGGAATAAGGGAAGATAGTATATTGGGATTATAGGGACTACACAGGGATTGCATTCTTATCATTCTTTTATTCTCTACGAAGCACCAGTAAGATTATGGGGATGCTCGGGCCAAAGTGTTTCCCAAAGACTTGCGTGGTAGCTGGACGAGGAGCAGTAAGCTCTTGTCTTTGGCTGCCTGCTCCAAGCTCGAATTCACAATCACCGCGGTCACCTGCATCCAGTCTGGACTGAGTCATCCTTTCCCACACCACAACCAGAACTAGAGTCTTCAGCCATCTTCAGCCGACGGGCCAAATTCATGATCACAATGCCGACCACCAGAATGACCTCAGAATGGCCTATGTAGTGTGTGAAGGTCTGGGTGATGTATGGAGAAACGGAATCAAATAGAATCGGTGAGGCCCATAATGAAGGCGACAGTGATGATGAGTTTGATGCGACAGGGCGTGGGCAATTCCACGAGCGCCGCAAAGGATGACGCTTGTTGATGTGCAACGACATCGAAAATCAAGATGACGACCCTGCCACAGAGCATGCTGCTAGCAACGGCCATAATGTGACGCTGATGTGATGGTGAGGATGGCATGTTGGTGATGGCCCGATGGCCATGTTCAGCGTGACATAGTACAAACATGCATAAACAGTAAACACTAGAAACTTGCTGATGATGCAGATTGAGATAATTGCAACAAGATGCAGCCTTGAGAACAACACTCAAAGTCGCAGCGATACATGCTGATGGGCATGGTGTTTGTGGATGAGCTAGAAAGTAACAATTAGAATTGAAACAGGACCAAAAGGCAATGATTCAGGTGATGATGATGGCGAACTGCAACAATGCCCCACAACGACCCCAAAAACTATCATAGCGGGCACCCCAGTTAGATTAGACACTAGAGGGGAACCCAAAAAAAAAGACGAAAAAATCAACAACCTCCCAAATGCTCCCGATGATGACGGTATTCAAGCCTTAAACGACGCTACGATGCCTTCTCCACCTGCATGTCAAGCCTTGAAGTGGTGCCAGTGTTCTTACAACGACCAGGGCAATAACGCCCTTCATCAAGACCCGCAGATGATGCAAACGGCACGATGACGAGGAGGCGGAGCACAACAACAATGACCACAACGACCACCACGACCGCAACAAAACCACAACGGCGACCACGACAATACCTCAACGAAGACCAAAACAGCGACAACCGCAACAACCACCAACACGACAATATCACAACGACGACCGGAACGACCGCGACGCCCACCACCGCTGCCGCCACCACCACAATGACGACGACAACGACGACGACGCGGACGACGACACGTAGGCGCATTTTGGCTAAGGTCACTAGAGCAGGGGTCAGGACGAGGACATTCACGCCGATCATGACGACGATGACGACGCTTGTGTTAATGATGCAAACACTGGCAGATAATGGGGGAGGTACATGATAGCGAGATGCTTAGCAGCTGGTACTGATGCTGACCGTTTCAGGAAACCTGTCCCATCTTCACATGCTGATAAAACAAGTTGGCCTGCCCCCCCCCCGGCCACGCTGAACCCCCGCCTCCTTGCGTCCACCTCCCTTCCCTCCAAGCAATGCCAAATGTATGTGAGCCCCATCGCGCCCACCATGACCCGCTAGAGCAAGACCGAACTTAGATGGATGCGCTAGCTTTCGCAAAAGCGCTTCTGGAATTAAATGGCCTATCAGAGTACCTGCGTACGCCTGTCTGCAAACATCGCCTGATCCTTAGCCAAGCCGAGGAACCACGACGAAGTACGCCAGCAGCACCTGCTATTGGCAGCATTTGCAATGCAGTGATGTGGTACTGAGATTCTGGCAGTGGCAGTGGTGTTGATGCGGTTGTGACGTGCTGGTGAGAGCGGTGGTGGCAGTGGTGGCGGCAGTGGTGGCGGCAGTGGTGGTGGCTGTGGCAGTGGCAGTAGCGGTGGCAGCAGTCATAGTAGCAGTTGTGGTGGCCGTAGCACCGGCAGTAGCAGTGGCAGTGGTGGTGGCGGTACTGCCTTCGGTAATAATAGTGCTGGCTGCGGCTGCTTGCGGGCGGTAGCCGAAAGGTGGAAACGGTGGCACTAAGTACCGCCACTGTTCTGTATGTGCGCAAGATGCTCCTGGAAGAGGCCCTTTGCTGCGGAAAATTCATAAAATTCTAACATTCCTCCGAAATCACAATATCCTTGCCAAGGTGTGCCAGCAGCACTGGATCTCTGTCGGCAAGGGGCTTGTACACATGAACCTGAACCAGAACCATTTTCAAGCAGGAGTGAGCCCATCACGGTTCAAGCAAGCATGCACCCAGGGGAAAAGCAGGGCTCAAAGACCAGCAAGATAGTTAGCACAGGCAGCCATTTCAGGGAGCGCTAGCGCGATGCAGCAAACGTTGTCTTACTGCTCGTGGTCCGCCACACTGCTTCATGAAGCCATTTGAAAAGCGGCTGGCGGCTCCGTCAGCCCTGTTACCCCAGAAGTGCTTCCAAGCTACAATGTTGTCAAAGGAGACGAACCTGGGCCGGAGAGTAGTCTTTGAGAAGTAAGTCAGTAATCTCGGTGAAAGCCGGAATAGCTAAACTGGCAGCAGCAGTGTTCGTAAAAACCTGCCCCTAAGTCTCAATCATCTGCCGTGGCCATTGCATGGCAAAAGCTAAAATCCTTTCTGCAGCCACTGCCCCTTTGCAGGTCCGGGGAGCTGGAGAAGCGTGACCATGGCCATCGGCAAGTTGCCTAGAGTCAGCTGGGACACAGCTCCAGAACCACAGAAGCTTTCCATGGAAAATTGTGTACCCAGCACCTATGAAACTGTGTACCCAGCAGCTATACACTCCAGCACCTTACTAGCCGCAGGAACAGCTTGCTCAGCCAAGGCGCCGAAGTTTTCGCGCACGGTCCTTGCAAAGTCCTGTGGCAACATGACCGGTTGGACTTCCAAGTGGACCTCTGGCTACCCCCTCCATGGTGAAAAGCATGAGTCTAGTTGGCTGCATAGCTTCGCTATGAACCAAATGTCGGAATATGACCATAACCCTGTATAACCCTGTTTTGACAAAGGTGACGTCATGCCTCGTCTTCCTGTATCATCGGGTGCTGATAAAGGAGCTGTAAGATCAGGCATGCAAATATGTACCTTGGCCATGGCGGCTCTGAGGCTACTCTTGAAGGCTTAGGGCTTAGGGTTTTGTCAAGTCCCTTCTTTCGTACTAAATATCAGTAATGGAGGATTAATTGGAAAGGAACATGGGGAATGAAATGGAAATTGGAGGGTTAAATAGTGATTCAAGGAACTGAAGTCAAGTAAGGGGACAGAAGTCCCTTCGACAAAACTCCTCAGCAGTGAATGTCACTCACTGATCTTTGCGATGCACCGCCGAGCTGCAGAACTACCACAAGCAAAAGGATGGTGTAGATCATGGTGTTGGCAGAGTTAACCAAGCCTATCACCAAGACAACGGCAAACAGAACCAGTGCGATTCAGGCCTGCTTTGCTTGTTGTGCGCACCACAATCGGGCCTTGAACTAGGAGCCAGAGCTCACGAAAGCGCATCAGGTATCGCACTGTCTTTGCCTTACTGCCAACGCGCCACACAAGCCCAGCCAAGAAAGATGCCCCTGTTTCTGCGCTAAGTTGTACGGGCGGCGCTAAAATGCTTCTTCCAGAAAACTGCTGGCCGATTTATCCAAACCCAAACTTCAGTAGCTCACATGAACACTACCCGGCTCACACAAAGCGAAGATTCAAAATCGTACCTAAAGGCAGTCGAGTTTGCCAAGCTTCTAGCAATCCTATCTACCAGCAATTTCAAGTTTCCGCCCAAACCCCTCGACCCGAAACTCAAATTTCAGAAGCCTGGTTTTGCCTCTTCGAGGGAGTTCTTCCAAGGCACCAGTCGTAACAGTCGGGCCATGCGGAGCAGGATGAGGACATTTACCTTACAGGATGCAAAAATCCGTCGGAAGCAGTTTGGAAAAGGGGGGGGGCGCTGGTGAAGACGTGGTTTCCCAAAACACCTCTGGGCTCGATGGGCAGGTCCATCCGGCCTCAGAGACCTCCACGAAGAAGGGCTCCAGGATCCACTGGCTTAGCACCCCAACGATCACGAGAAACATATCCTGAGGATCATGGCTCTTGTACACTGCAGATAACACACAACCGCAACGTATCCTATGTCGATAGGCTCAGAGTAGAGGCATGAAGCAGGAGCGAGCTTCGAAGGCTTAGTCACAGAACATGACAAGGGGCAGAGCCTCTTCACTCTGCCCTGCCCTAGCTGCCCTGCTCACCTCCCCCCAGCCAATCATGCCGAGACACGAAGCGGACCCAGCTGTCCCACACAGCCCTCCGCCAGTCCACGAAAAGCCGCATCAGCAGCTCCACTACATAGACGCCCAGGAAGACGTGCTCCAACCTTTAGCTGCAGTTAACTTTCGGAAGTGATCTCGCCAATCAGCGGCCAGAACTCTCCAAGAAACATGCCCAGGGTGGAGGTGTCTCGGCCTTCGGTCCGCCACGTCAAGTCCAAACCGATGTTCACCTGAGACACCAAGTCCGTGCCAACTACTTCGCGCAGCTGCAAAGTAGCAAGACCCAAAACCAGGAGAAAGCAGATGCGATGAGATTACGAAACACGGCCTGTATCCAAGTCACGGCGTTGGAAATGATGATAAGGCCCAGGAAAGAATCGAATCTCTGCGAGTTCAGGACCTCTCCTGGGTCGTTGCTGCGTTTTTGCAAGGATTGTGAGGTCTAGCACTCATCAAAACTCTGAATCGACGCCGCCTGGCCTATGTGATGTCGGAGCATGGCCATTCTTACCTGAACAAGTTGCAAATGGAATGGGCGCCGCTGGCTACGTTGACTGTGCGGATGCGCTCCACTACATTCCAGGTGGTGGCCTTTCAAACCCAAGGACCGAACCCACAGCCAAAAGAGAGGCACAGCCTGCCTCGAACTGTGTCAGCGAGCGGTCCCGGTAACGCCTTCGCGGTGACTTCGGTGACTTCGGCGAGCGGGATCTCGCAGACCTGGAATTGGAAGACCTGGAGAGTCTGTGCGGACAGAGCGCTTAACTCTCTGCTTGAATTCTCCCATTCATTAAACGTCTGCTCGGCCCCATCTTCCGCGTGCTGCTAGCCGCACTAGGTGCCAATAGCACCGGTGTTAATTATAGCTTGCAGAAAGCCCCTCAAAACGAGGAAACGGGTAAACTACGCTAGAAACAACACCTGCTTGCACCAGAAGGTTGATGTGGAAGCATCGACAATGACAGCTACTCATGTTTCCGAATCTCCAGCACCTGGTACGAGATGGCTCGACGTCCTCAGCCGTAGGCTCCAGCTCAGGCGGGACCGGCCGCATTGGAGGATCTACCTCCATGCGGCCACTTTAAAGCTTGCGTGGCGCGAGATTGTCGGTGGTTTCAGCTTGCAAGCCTCGATGCCCTTCTCCCTAGTGGGGCACAGGGAGTCCGTCTTGATCAGCGGCGGCGACTGCAGAGTGATTCTAGTGGTGTAAGACTCTTAAGCAGACATGGACGACTTTTGGGATGGTTCAAGCCACCTAGGCAAACTTCCGGCAAATCTTATACGAAGCTGAACCACCGCGGGTCCACCTCCACAGTCTCTATGGTCTGGCTGACCTTCACCATGTCAAAGTCCTGACCTGCGACGTCAGCCGCACAAGGAGAACATGACCCAAAGAGCAGACCATGCTTTTGGCCGAAGCCCATGAGCCTTACGTGCTGGGCATCACGACTCTCCAAGTCCCTGGCTTTGATATGCCGAAGAGTCATCCGGTGAACTCGAGGGCATGATGGGCTCCTTTCACGTAAGGCGACTCTGAGACTGAAGAGAGGCATCGCCGCTAAAGGTGCTCGCAGCATAATGCCATGCCTTCAAGCATCCATGAACGAAACTGCGACCCTCAAGCTTCTGATCCCAGTGGCCTTCCCTCCGTTGCGAACTTTCAACCTGGGCTCTCTCAAGAAGTCTTGACAGAGCTGCAAGCCAAGCGCTCCCTGACACTGCTTATGCTGCATTTTTTTTGCTGCAGGCTTGTGTCGGGTCGTCTGATCCAAAAAGGCACAAGCCGAATATTCAACCACAGCCTTTTTTGCTTTCAGGTCTCTGTATATCGCCGGGTTACGTGAACCGAGCTACTCCACTAGACCGTGAACCATCTTCACACTTTGTAGTGCTCCAGGGTCGCACAGGGCTTGCAACTTTTCACTCACTTGGGTACTGAGGCACTGACACATCCACGTCCATAAGCGACAGATGCACGCTGTAATGTTGAAAGGTTGCTGAATTTGCCTTCTTTGCTGCTCTTGCTGTTTTTTTAGTGCGGGGTTTGCGAGAGCTGCACAGCAGTAGATATCACCACTTTCATCATCATGATGTTGCCTGGGCGGCTGTCCCAAGAGCAAAGGCTAGATGCAAGAATGACAAGTTGAATCGGAGCTTTGTCAACAGCCAGGTCCACGCAGCTCTGGCCAAGCAGCCTGAGCAGTGTTCAGGGCAGGGCAGCGCCTGCGGCTGTCAAGCACAAGCTCCAGCTTCTAAGTGCAAGCAAGCATCCGTGTGGACGGCCGAATTGATTCGACGATAATCAAAAAAGTGCTGCGGGGTGCGGCCAGTGTCGCATAAAAATCTCTAGACATACAATTCCACCGACTGCAAGACATTGCAGCTCGTCGGCAATTCGCTTCTGCAATCTGCCAACAACCCTGGCAAAATGACAGCTTGAGGGCACTCAAAGGCCCTGCCGCTTCGGGGAGCTCGAGGTACCAACCTAATGCCCCCGCGTGCAACTGAGACTTTTCAGTTTCTTCTATGGAGTGCCATGCATGGTGCAGGCAGGCAACATGGACCCGTCGGGCTTGAGCTTCTTCCTGCAAGACATCAAACTACTGGACCATGAGACCAAGGCAAGAAACTAGCATGCCAAGCCGATCAGCAAGTGTATGTCCTCAAAGACAAGGTCCCACTTGTCAAGACACCGCACGTCCTCTGCACAGCCGTACAGACATGGCATCACGCAAACCTTGGACAAACTATGGGGCCTGCTCCGCCAGCACCCCATGCTCATCAACGTCAAGGCCTGACACAACTTGCATTGGACATGCTTCGTAGCCATGACACTAAGTGACAATCGTGCGGGCGCTGGCCCTCGAATAGCAGATCAGCCGCCTGCCAAACACGCAAAAGCTCATACACCGCCAAGAATCGGTTGCTATGACAGTGATAGCTATTGCCACCTCCTTGGGCAGCAACTCTTCGTCCATCAGCACCTGAACAGCGAAAAGTCAAACATTGAGCCTTCCAAGGGCAGAGCGCGGCATCGCGGATCGGCAAAGGCCTTGCGGAACACGGACTTCGAAAGTCTGAGGCCCTGGGACTCCAACCTCCAAGGCAAAAGCAGCAGAGTTGCACAAGCTCACTGGAATACTGTGGCAGAGACTTTTTCAGCACAGACGCTATGAATTTGGCCTCATGCGGGGTGGCAGTGGCTCAGAGGGTCTTCCTCATTAGCCCAGACAACGTAATCAGGCAAGAGCTCCAAGGCCAAGACTACGCTACCATGGCTCACAGTCGCCCAGCGCTTCAGTCGGGCCGCAGCCTGGCTTGGCTCAATAGCTAAGATGCTAACATGTGAGCGTTTGCTAGTAATGGGCAAGGACCATTGCCTCGAAAGCCTCGGGGTGGAATGTGCGGAGCGTTGCCCAGCCAAAGCACTCCTCTCAGCGGGAGAGGCCAAATACTTTGAGCCAGCTGGAGGCAGAGCAAGGAGGAAGCACAGAGGCACAGGGGACATAGCCAGCTGCAGATGCCGAGCCTCATCCATTGTCCTCCAGACCTGGGAAGCTTTCTACCAACCGTTGATTAAACATGTCTGGCAATACTGACTTTAGAAGCCTCCACCTGAAGTCACGTGCGAGGCCTTAAAGCGCTCTTGGGTGGATAGCATCAAAAGCCCCCGCCTTGGCCGTGTCCTCCTCCATGTTGGGGAGGCCGCCATGGCGGCGCGCGATATTCGCCTTGAGCTTTGTTTAGTTTTTTGTGGTCGCTTTTGGTTAACAGTAGCAGCCCAAAGTTCAGAGGGCCTGGCTACACCAAGCCGAAAGCGGAACCAAGAAACCCGAAAGAGCCTGAGCGAGAATCAGCAGAAAAGCTTTGGGCTCCTCTCCTGGAAAATCTGCTTACACTGGGAGCCACCGCGTACGGCCTATAAGGCTTATAAGCAGGGAAGCGAGCTGACTATCATGACTAGGGGGGAGGAGAGCGGACTGCAATGCAAAATGTTCAAACGTTCTCTTGCATGCTAACGACGCCCGGCCTGTCGGGATCCCACAGCCGGAACCTGAGAAGAATAGTTGATGACACTCGGTCTTTTCGAACCCAGAACACAGACTCGCAATTGAAGCCTCATGCAAGAGTCGGCCAGCAAGAAGGCCAGAAGAGACATCATCATGGCGGTCGGAATGAAGCCATAAAAAGACCATGAGAATAATAATCCCAGTGGTCGCAGCGATTCACTGGCGGAGATAACAAGGCTGATCAGAAAGCCGTCCGTCAACAACATACATGATCAAACTGCGCAACCACAACAAAAAGCTAAGGTAGCACGCTGAGGGATGAGAGGCACAAGAAAAGAGAGATTTCAAAAGCTGGGTCCCAAAAATTGAGAGCCTGCCTCATGTACAATTTAGCTAGAAGGAAAAGCACTCCTAAGTTCTGAAATCCCTCAAGTATACCCTAAACCCAGGAGCCGCAATCTCCGCAACAAACCTAAACACTGAATTTTATAGTAACGATAGTAGTAATGATAATATCTTAGCGCTGCTAGAAATAACAATAGAAACAGATCTCATACTTGTAACAATAGTAATCAACATCTGCTGTATGAGAATCTGAACCGAGCCCGGAACCAGGCGCGCAGGGCGCTTCCATGAAGTTCGGCCAGGGCCTTGTCTCTGCAGATCGTTTTAGGGGCTAGGATTATGTAGGGTTTAGGGGTTTAGGATTTAGGGTGTAGAGCTTATCATTTCTAAGGTCCCGACCACTAAGTGCACCAAGGGATTCTGCGGGAGTTATGTGGAGAAAGGCCCAGGGCCCATAAGAGGTCTTCTCAAAAAAGGAGGAGGCAACTCAGTGGGGTTGAATCACAGTGTAGAAGAACGCAATTTGAGAAAGACGCATAATAGTATTAGGGTACAAGGCATTATTCGCACATAACTAGAATCTCAACGCATCCCTCATTCAGCTGCTAACGATGTTTCTAAACGCTTCGTCTCAAAACGATGCCTGCTACCTGTTTTTTTTGGTCACCACGATTGCTATGGCTGCAGCCGCCCCTTCCTCCGCACCCAACTATTGCCTTCATAATGCTGCAAGAGAGGACCACGAGTATTCCTACAACTTCATTGTAACATCGCAGGCGCTGGACATTGAGCTAGGCTCCAACTCAGCTTGAACCAAACCCTTTCTTGCAGGCCGAAACCATTCTAGGATGTTCTAGGATCAGAAAACTGCTTCCCTCACACCGTGCTATTAGCATGTTCCGCATCTAGCAGGTGTCGCACAGTCTGGGGCGGCTAACTGAGAAGCAAAATTCGGAATAAAGTTGACCGGCCTGCTAGCTTCTAGCTGTCGCCATCCCGAAATGGTTGAGAAACTAAAAAACTCCAGTGAATACAACTCCAGGAAATTGGAACCCTATCGTCACATCACTACCCCTCTGCGGCCCCCGGGGCGATGGCACTGCGAAAGCTGCTTAGCAAGCGCAGGTCGCCGCAAACAAAATAGTATGGTGGCGGGCTCCTTCACTCAGAGACAACATACTTGGCGCAGGACATGAGTTCCTGTCCATGCTTTGTTCCTTCGTTGCTTGAAAGAAGATAGTCCCCCCCAACTGCAAACACTGCAAGCCCAAATCCAGATGTCTGTTCTGCACCACTGAAGACACCCACCAGTTCATCTACTTAAGCAAGCCGTGGTCTTCTGGGTGCGCGGCCACCTCTGCAGAAACAATAGGTCTTTGACCTCGCTCCCCCAGCTCCCCTGAAGTGTCCTGTAGGGATCTTGAAAGGATTACCTGATTACCGGTGTCCCTTAGGGCTGAATAAGGGTTAGTTTGAGAGACTCCCAAATTTCTGGTGCATTATCATGGCTCAGGGACTGGGCTTTCTCAGGAAACTAAACAAAGTCCAGTAGAACTTTTCCAAAGAGCTCGGGATGGATGTTTAGCTTTACCATGCCAACTGGATACTCTGCTGGCTGAGTGTAAATGATGAAAGGCATCCCTTCCAACTGCTTTATGAGCGGATCGCGCTAGCAACAGTACCTCGAATGCAAGTACCACTAAGCTTTCTCCCGCAAACCAGAAAGTCTCTCCTCCCAATGAAATTAAATGCTGGCAAGGCTATTGCGCTAAGCTCAGGACCGAAATTGTCGTGCAGTTGCAGCGGCCTCAGAAAAGCTGCGGCGCAACGGCTTCCAAAGCTGGCATGACCCCAAGGTTAAGAGGGAGCATGACCCTTGAAGTGCAGGCCCAGTTGAGGCTTTCGCAAAGCAGATCGAAGAGTCGCCTGGATGAGCCCTGCATGCCAAGAGACGTCAAGCAGCAAAGCGATACTCTTGCAACTGGTTGGGCGGACCGCAGGGCATTTCAACGTATCCATCGCTCGCACAAACCTCAGCTGGCTGAAGTACCAGGCGATGCTAGGCCAGCTTCCCAAACCAAGCTCTCAACTCAAGGCCAGACGTAGACTCCCAATCTAAGAGCTCCACTCGTCTTTGTTTACTCGATGGCTGCCTTTCAAGTCCACCTGGAGGTTCTCCCAAAACATGTTTCCGCAGGAGCGCTGAGCCTGAAAACATTTGAGGTCTCAACGCTCTTCATGAACTTGTCAGCGCTGCCTGCCGCAGAGTTCGCATCTAGACCAATCCTGGTCTGTCTAATTAACAAGCGCAACTGACGGCGAATGACCCCCATGCAGGCTAATTTGTGCCTGGAATCCTGTCGTGCTGCACTCTCTGCGCAAACGCGGTAGCACGTACTTCAAATGAGAAAAAGCAGACTCTTGAAGAGTTGCCTCCAACCCGCAAAGTCTGCTTGTTTCAAGATTCGATGCGGTGGCCAGGTGCCCGGGTAATACTGCGGCTGGCCTTCGAACTCCTGACTGAGAAGCACCTCACAACTACGTGCGGGCATGTGTGGGCAGTGGTTTGCTCTAGAACGCCATCCGACATGCAGTTCCAAGTTCAAACTGATTGAATTGGTGGGTTGCCATCTGGTCCACGAATGAACGAGGACGATCCGCAATGTAATGTCAATGTGGACACTTCAGTCTCATCGCGCTCATGTCTGAGCCGGTGCCCCTTGCCTTGAGGTCGGCCAACTGCAAAGCAACCTGCGGGTCGATGTCGCCCAATGCGATGTAGCCTTTTGCTCAGAGGCGCCGGGTGCTGCAGGATCTACAATGTGAACATGCGGGGGCGGAGAAGCAGAGGGAAAGGCTACTTACATGCGGGATGGCATTATCCAAAGCCATGGAGCTGACATACGGTACCGTTGGGCTCTGGACCAGTCACTTCCCTAATCCAACAGCAAAGCTCGCCTGAGCCATCATGGTCCAGCTGACGCCACAGGGTCGTCAAACAGCCGGAAAAGCCGATCTCCTGACGCAGCTGTCTCAGCTCAGCAAGGTCGAGTCTTTGATATCCAAGCAAGCCCAGCATTCGGGAACAACAAGTGGCCTCGCAGCCACGAACAAACTGCTTGTTGGCCAGCTTCATGTTTTCCTGCAGTGAGGGGATCCAAGACACAGTATCCAGCCATCATCCATACGGACTAACTGGCTAACTGGCTTCCCCTTCTACAAGAAAGTTCCAGGCATTGCAAACGTAGCATATCCACCGCTATTCTTAGGCCCAAAAGATGCCAAAAGTTTCAGAGTTATCCGCAGAGGTACCGTGCAGATTCGTGCCGTGCGCCGCGGTTCACATGATGAGGTGATGGGCCCGCAGGTGCAACCGCAGGCCTCAGGATCCATGACGAACCACAATCGCGCGATGTTCCCGAACCTTCCTTGGCTGAAGAGCTGAGGCATCACATCACAAGCCACAAGTCTGGGCCAGTCGCTGGTGGCGAAGGAAAGGAAGTCTGTATGCGCCTTGCCCCAGGTCGCAGTCTCAGCATCACCCTTATCCTACCTGACCTCAGCCTGACACCAACCTTGCCTGTAGGCCCCTTCGCAGCACCGTTTGGCGCGGGCTTGGAGCTTCCGGGCGCGCCTTGCCAGGAAACTGCTGAGACAGAAACGACACCGCAGATCACATCAGTCATCTTCTAGTACCAGAACCTTCCGACCTCCTCGCTCTTGTCCGGCTTGGCCAGCTTTGCTGACTTGTCCGGCTTGGCGGACTTGGGAGGCTTGACCGGTGAATGGTCCGGTCTGAGCATGGGAGGTCGATGTCACTTCCAGCTCTCAACTCGTTGAAGCTCAAAATTGAGCGCCTCTTTGTGGCTGCAGCTGCGCGGCTGCCAACCAGTCCTGCCGCGCGGCTGACCTATGGGCACCCAAGCATACGAAGACGTCTCTTGTACCCATGGAACTCAATCTTTGGTGCTAAGGGAGCAGCTTTGTCATCGATGTCCGACAGAACTGTACGCAGCTGGGGCAAGTTGTCCACGCCCTTTCAATGGTTGGGCACATGCTTGAGCTTAGATGCGGCAGGAAGCTGAGAGGCTAATTACCATCAGAAACTGTTCCGGAGTTTCCCAGATTCTGCGCTGCCACGTACTTCTTCCGACTCTTGCTGACTCACGCAGAAGATGCCTGTGCTTCTGTGGCTTCAAGCGCATGTCGGGTGGCCAGGACCTGCCAGTCGAGACAAGGGATATTGAAACTCCACCGAAAGTTCCGTGCACCTTCAGGATGAAGGCGGCATGCTTCAGGGCCAGGAAGCAAGCGCCCCTGGAACAGCGCACAAAGTTTGCCTCCAGGTTCCAAAATTCAGGAAGGCTATGGAAGGCCGAGCAATGGCCATTGCCTGTGCTCCAGTCCAGTTGAGCTTGTCCGCATCCAGCAGCCTCAAAGCAGGCACCTGAGCTCGGATTACTCAGTAACTTCGCCACGCTGCCCTGTTCAGCTTTTCCTGGCACATTCCTCCAGCTGTCCAGTCAAGCCACAGACTTCTCCAGCACGAAGGCCTGAGCCAGGCTTTCTCTAGGGAGCCGGGGTGTCGTTGATGGCGCATACGCACAGCTCACAGCGACTTGCTTAGCCTTCCAGAAACCGCCTGGACTTTAACAGGGGAGGGTCAAAAGCGTGGAGCATTCCAAATATGCATGAGAATTGAAGAGCTGCCCATCTTTTGAAATCCTCCTCGGCATGCTCAACTAAGGCCACCCCAGATTCAGCAACACCACACCTGCAAAAGAAGACTAGAAAGTTTTGCGCAGGCTAATAGGCGCCAGCTTAGGCTACCTAATGACTTTACTTCCAGGATACAAGACCAAGCTGGGGAAGTTCACAGCTCCAGCAGCAGCAGTGGCGCAAGCCGTGCCAACAAAGTGATGCTGAAGGAATGGAGGGGGGCCAACAAAAAAATATCCTCAAGGACCCTAAGATCTCTGAATAACACAGCCCAGGATGGCCTTGTGCCCCGAAGCTTCGCTACCCAGCGGCAAGTCCCCAGTCACCTTGCAGAAATGGAGATGCCTACACTACTACTCTTCTCAACAGCCGTGCAGCTTTGCTGTGAGTATGATCCCTGCTGTGTGCAGCTTCCCTTTCAGAGGGAGGGGTTCCATCGCCAGCAATGCATACTGATGAACCAAGATCTTTGCATCCACAAGATTCCAGAAACTACCGGGGATCTGCGTCCCTTCTACCTGTGATAGTGGGATCACTCCGCGCATCGTGCCTCAGGAAACTTCGCAGCTGCGTCTCCGTCGAGAACCAGCCAGATCTTCAGTACATCGCGACCATTTTTCGGGCTGGCACTTGCGACTAGTGACCAGAATTGAAAAGAGAAGACCAAGAAAGTTCAAGACATCCATGCATCTTCAAAGCCGAGACATAGACGCAAAACGATGCAGAGCAGACTCAAACAAAAGCCGACTGCTGATGATCACTGAATATCACTTAATTGAAGTCATGAGCTCCAAGATCCTTCAGAGCAGAAACTAAACCATTCATGTTTGGGTCGCTGGTCGCTCCCTTCATTTTTGCATGGCGGCCTTCGTTTGGGGTTCCCTTGAATGATTTTTACCTGGTTTTAGCAGCAGATCGCCCGAAGGGTACCAGCTGAAGTGACATGCGTGTTGCTCAAAGAAGTCGGTATGCCCCTGCGTGCCACGTCAAGCTCCGCATAAACCATCTGAAAGCACGCAGTTTCCATATCGCCGGCTGCCTCGGCAGGCAGGCGAACCTCGCCCCCCACACCACGGAGGCGGATGGGTGCCGTGCCCTGGGTGGAAGTCACAAAGGTCTAAAGTCTCCGAAGGCTGAAGTTGAAAAAGACTGTAAGATAGCTGCGACATCAGAAGCTATGAAAGGTATGCCATGTGTACTAGACTGACGACACATGTGCTGCTGCGGTTGACGGTAGGGTGAGGTGATGCCTACCTCATGTATGACTGATGAGATGGAGATGGTGGCCGAAGCACTGACATACTCACCATCTCTCCTACATATGCTAGCCATGTCTGATCTGCAAAACACAGCACCTCGGCTACCACGATGTTCAAAGCTTCCTCGCAGTTCCAACATGTTCTCACACGCTTACACCTCCTTCTCGCAGCACCTATTTTGTAAATTGTGCAAAGCTCCAGCGGTCCTCGGCTGCTGCCGCGTCGGCTTCACAGTGCCGCATCCGGACACGTGGGCGTCGGCGGCGGCGAGGCGGCGGCAGCTGACAGGGCAGGAACGTCTGTCACACGTCTGCAACACTGGAACTGGTACCCTGCATAAGCACCTGCGGCGCTTTTGGCTTCAGCACGCAGCTGAGCTTCAAGTACTTGGGCACACTGCAGTCGAACTCGAAGCCTGGCTAAGCTTGATCCCATCTTCGCAGCTGCTGCAGGCAGCTTGTCAGAAACGTCAAACCGCTTCGCGATGCCTGGACGGCTCGGCGTGTCACTTCGATCTGTCGCCTCAGTCGCTTGATCATCCCCGATTGCCATGGCTGACAACTTGCAATTTGTTTTGCCCACCCTGCCAGCAAATTTGCTGAGAGTTCGGTGTTCTCCTTGCCGGGGGCTGCGCACAGGGGCTGTCGGAATCATCGGGACCTGCAAGTGCTCGATACTAGGTTGCTTTCTGGCCAACTGAGACACGCAGAAATGCTCAGAAACTGTTTGGCAGGGAGCCACCACACATGCCATAAGCCCCCATCACAACAGCGGCATGCTTCCAACTCACAACGTTTTGCACTTGCGCGTGGTAGTTTGGGATGTAAGCCATATGAGTGTCTGTTGCCTTGCTTCTTTTCCAAGATCATGCCAGCAACCTGTGCCTGATGTAACACACTGCTTGCTCTGCATTCGCCGAATGCGCACCTCCAAGGCGGTCTCTACCAATTTCTGTGCTACTGGCTGCTGATGACAATGGCAACTACAGGCTCTTTGCACTCCTCTTGCACTCCCCTAGATGCAGGCCGCTCTCAGCTACCACTGATTGCCAGCATGCTCCTCACAAGCCAGGTGAAGCTGAGCTCACCACAAGCTCCAGGGCCTCACGTGCAAGCATGATCTCAAGCTAAATACAGGCTGAGGGAGCACTGGGATGATTGTCATCCTACGAAGTATTCCTAACCCTTCCCGCCCATCAACTGCCTACGCTATAAGATGTGCCACCAATCCCAACCCCAAGAAGCTATGCCAGAAACTTTTCCTGTCCGTCTCAGGAGGTCTGTGATCACTGGATGGGCTGATCGGGGGTGAGCTGCCCAGATCGCAACGGCAAGGCGGGTTGGGGTTGGGAGAGCCATTGGCCCTGGGAGCTTTGCCTGCTGCTAGGGTCCACCCACCTCCTCACAGCTAGCCCTGAACCAGTGTTAATCGGTCGGCCATCCGGCCATTGCACATTTCAAACTCTGTTTCTCGGCTGTCCAGTTTGCTAGACTGCCTGAAGTTGAAACGGCCTGCGGGCATTGCCATCTGTTTGCAGAAGAAAGAATTCACCCTGGTCTCTGCTGGTCCGTACGAGAAACCGCCACCAGGGTGGGTGACCTACCAGCAGGAACTCTTGATGGCATGCCCAAACGCTCCCAGTACCGGCGCCGGGCCAATCTCACTGGTCTCGCACTGAGCGGAGACCTCGCATCCTTGGGCTTTGCCTGGATCCCTGTGATGCGGCCAGCAAAAGCAGAATTCATCTGCGTGGGGACTCCACCGAGCATACCGAGCATACCGAGCGTACCGAGCCTATCTTTGACAGACAGACTGATTGACGTGCGCTTTGACGCAAAGAGCACCATGACTGCCATAACTTTCGCTTCTGTCAAGGTTGCTTGGTGGCAGACTGAAACGTGAAACTCACAACTGCCATCTGTTGCTCAGAGTGAGCTCACAAATCGCTTCTCAGCTTGATCCGATGCTCCTGCTTGACACAGACATCCCGCACAGTATGCGGGGCACTGTGTTCAGAGAACTTCATGCCATGCAAACCCGCGACTCGGCCCTCATGAGTTCTATGGCCAGCCAATTCTTGTAGAAAGGAAGAATATGAAAGTGTCCTTGACAAGTCTCATGAGACCAAGGCCAGAATCCTTGATCTCTTGCAACCTGTTTTCCTTGGAAGCAAGGCTGATTCATCAAAGAATCTGCAGGTCGGCGTACATGCCCTAAGCAGGAGCTCGTGCGGTGCACGGCCATTGTTGTCCCCAAGCTGCTTTTGCAATCTTTGCTTCCTCGTATTCCTTCTGCATGCTTTTCAGAAGCTCGTCCACCTCCTGTAGCGGAGTAGCGAGAACGCACCGCACCGGATGATTTGGAGCCATGCAATATGCTTGATGCTTGCAAACCATCCAGGTCCTTTTCTGCTGCTGCAATGGATGCCTCCTGCTCAGCTATTTTTGAATTCAGATCTTCCGCCGGCATGGCCATGTACTCCTGGCAGTCAAGGCCACAGGAACACTTGTGGCCTTTCTTTCAATCTCTGACCAGACGATCACGACCAGAGAAGCCAAGACAACTGCTGCAGAATAACTCCTTGAGCTGCTTCTGGCTGAGAACATCGCACAGCTCCATGTTCTCCGGCCCACATGTTGGCCGGAGATTCTCCTGACATATGTTGGCAGCGTGCTCAATTATGGGAGGCTTAGCCAAGTTCAGGTAGGGCTCTTCCTGAGCCACTGAGAGCCCCTCAAACTAGTCAGAAACTCGGCCGCACCTTGCACTTACCAATCCCGTCAAGGCTTAAGCAGTGTGCCTGCGCAAATTTCTGCAAGCTTGGAAGATCTCTCCCACCAGTGTAGTCCTGCCGCAGGGCTAATTACGCCATACATTTCGTGAGATCAGGCTGTTTGTGTGACTTGCCGAGGCACTTGCAGTGCCGAGAATTTCTGCAGCAGATGTGGTAGCACACTGCATCTTAGCTGCCCATCATAATAGGAAGGCCCAAGAAAAACCCAATCCCGTCCTCCAAATTGTTTGGGTTTCCGTACTTGATGCTCGGGAAGTTCTTGATACCAACCTCATCACACTTGGTCTTCCCGTCGCCGATGCAGTCCACATCGGCCACGAGAATGCTAGGATGTGCTTTGTACTCCTTCAAGCAAACGACAACTCTCACCAATGCAGCATGAGCAGCCTCAAGTTATTGCCCGTTCGTGTACTGCGCTTGCTTCTTGCTCATGCTGTGGGCTCTCTCTCATGAGGTTCGAGTGCTATGAACATCAGTCAACCCCGCAAAGCCCGCGATTGCGCAGTCCTCCATCAGCTTGTCCCAGGCAGGCTTCATGCTCTTGCAATGACCACACCAAGGAGCAAAGAACTTGACGAAGATCGTCTTCCCTGCTGTCTGTTCCTCGGAAGTGCGGTGGGATGCGGTAGGCAGTGGCTGAACTAGAATCCACTAGAAGGAATCTCAAAGAGTTCTGAGCTCCAGTCATCCCAGTCCGCCTTCGTGAGTTCCACAGCCCCTACTGCATGTCCGGCAGAGGCCAGGAACCCGAGAAGGGCCACCTTGGCCCTCATGGGAAGATGCATCAAGAAGGCAAACTTCAATTGGGACGATTGGGACTTGGGGGCTACGGCTACATGCTGCTGGATGGGTGGGTGGGGTGCGGCTGATCGGAGGGCAGCCTTTGCCAAAGTCAAGTGCTTAGTGGCAAGGCTGCAAGGCTGCAAGGATACTCATTTTTGCATGTTGGGAATGGCTCTGGTTGTGAGCTTGTGGGCTTTCATTGCATCTCGAGCCCTGGTGTGAAACAGGCAACGGCGACATGGCAGCTTGCAAGGTGAGATGCATCGGAGATGCATGCATCCTACCGCTGGGCTGTCTTCTTGACTTGCATGCCCTCTTTCTCATTCCTAATCTGCCGCTTGCAATTTCTGCGTCGTGTGCGCCTTTAGTTCTACATGGCATTGCATGAACTGGGTCAGACATGGCCCCATGGGTCTCTTGAGGCGAGCTTTGGTTGGCCTGCAACAAAAATTAGGCCGAACGTCTCCCGGGTGGAGCGTCCAAGCACGCCCCAAAGCCCCAAACATGTCACTTAAGACCCGAAGCGGAATCTGCAGGAGCTTTATCCATTCCTACTTTCTTGGAACGTGTGGCAAGGGCGTCCCAGCTTTTGGACCGGCAGAATCCAGTCAAAACCCTAACCAAACCGTTTGAGATCTGCACTTTACACACGAGCCCTCACATGGCCAGAAATCGGCGCTTTTGGCACCTGAACATCATGCCAATCGCACTCCTAGAACCTCAAATGTGCGCACCAGACGGGCTGAAAGGTTGTGAGCTGAACTTGTGGACAAGGCACCTTCAGGCATCAAGCTTCACGTGCTCTCGGTACACCTGACAACATCACAAGATAGCCTTAGCAAACCTCCGAAGGGAGGGGAAAAAAGACATTGCCTGGCCTGCGCTGCTTTCATCAGCGCAAGGCCTCTCTCGTTGATCTCCTGTGCGTCTGGCTCTACAGACCAAACCTAGTAAGATGTAATAAGATTGGAAGCTGCAAGTCCTACGAGTGTCACGGAAACTGCAACTTAGCTACTGCAGCCCCCACGGATTCATGTCGTAGCTTTTATGGATGTGACAACTTTTTCAGTCGCCTACTAATTGAGAAGAATGGGAGCGTTGAGCCTCTCAACTGAAATCCTCGCTGGATGAAACCCAAACAACCGTCCTACGAGACTGCCATTTGTAGACCTGTAGCCGCAAATCAAAGCAGCTCAGGCCTTTTGCTTTCGTGCCTTCTCCTTCTGTCCAGCCTGCTTAGCGATGACAAGCACTTAGATGAAACAGCCAAGACAAGGCATCAACCGCGCAGAAAAAGTGTTCTAAATTTCTAAATTGTGCAGTCTACAAGTTGGCTTGCAGCTTGCGGCAGAGCAGACCCTCGCCCTTCGTTTGCCACATTTTAAGCTTTGTGCTGCTCCATGCCCCTAGCACACGTCTGAATGCAAAAGCTACGGTTCGGGCTTGGTGAAAAGAGTTGTGCATCGCATACTGTGAAGTATGACACAGCAACATCGTCTTGAAGGGATCTGTTCACACCCGCAAATACCACATGAACGTCACTGCTGAGATACTCTTAACGCAATTCTGGGAGCAGCGCGTTGTACTGCTTCTGCAGAGACCGGAGCAGCGCGTCAAGCTCTTTCTCTGCTGCTTGGCTCTCCACTTCGCCCTCCTTTGAAGGATGGATCAACTCGGGGCTTTGGGATGCTGTAGGATGCTTTCGGATGATCTTCTGCAAGTTCTACTGCAACTGATTCCTTGGAATGAGTAACCCCATTCCTGCAGCGCAGGCAGTTTGACAAGCCGGAGATGCATAGTGAAGCGAAAACCCGTTCAAACAGGTGCTGGCCCCTCGACTGCGTGTACCTCTCCTTGATCTTTGCTTTGAGGTCGGCCATCGGCAAGGCCAAGTAATCCTCAAGCACAGGATTTTAAGTGGGTTCTCCCCATCCGCTCTTTCAGAATGCGGCGTCCCAACTTTCAAGCTCTCAGGAATACCCCCCCCTTTCCTTCAGCTGCTGCAGCTTTTCGTCTTCGCAGAGATCCACACGCTCTGGGCTACAGGAGGGCTGCAGGCTCTCCTCCAGGACAGGCACACATACCGCGATGAACAGTGCGCAGACTGGTTTGGTAAAATTGAATGCTTGCTCCTTCTTGCCAAACACAATGCTCAGATTACTAGACAGGCTGCTGACTGACACGTCTCTGAAAGTCAGGGCCCAGGAATTGAAAAAAACTCCAAAACACCCCCGACCTGCAAAGCTCCCCGTGTATAATGTCAGCCTGACATCTGATCACATCAGGTATTGCCTCAACCAATCATAAGCCATGACTGCCACGTACTTGCACAAGCACAAAAAACACAAAGCATCCGGAGAAACCAGAAGCCCTCATCTCTGAACCCCAAAGGTTGCCGGTCAGGTCTTCTTTTGATAAGAGGCACTATGCCTCACAGCCGGTGCACATATTTCTTTGGGGAGTAGCAGGTCGGCGATTCCCTCCCCGCGCGCTCCTCAGCGAATGCCGCCAAATCCTCAAAGTCCCGACTTCCTCTGTAGTCCTCTGCGGACGATTTTAACAGTTATGGCTGTTTGCTGTTTGTCCATGTTCGTCCATTGCAGAATCCTCCTCACTAAACCTACAGTATCAGCAGCAGGTGCAAGTTCACCAGGGATTGTATGCAAAAGGAATGTGCTTTGCATTTTGCCGCGGACCCCAAGGAGAGTCCCCCGATCGAAACAGTCTCCTCAAGGTCATGTGGAGTGCCGTACCTTGGTGCGTTTTAAGGCTTTAGGATTTAGGTTTTGGGGTCTCAATTTCCCCGGCAATTTCTGCTTCCCCCGCCTAATGTACTCCTCCCCTCCTGCAGGCTTTAAAATCTGTTGCTAATATCAATGAAATTATGCCTGCACTATCTAATACCAAAACACGTCACCTTCCAACAGCCTAGTTCAGGCCTCAGGAGGCCGGTCAGCAAACAGCCTCCAGAGCTAACATGTGTAAGCAGGACAGTCAGCCGCACAGCTTGCACGGCCATGAGGACAACTCCTTTACATCATCCAGATTGCAGCCTTTCATTGCCATGCTTGGAACCATATCTTCAGCAACAAGGACTTAACAAAGATCCTACAAGATGAGTTCAGGAATCATGTAATCAAACTGACGACCACCACCGCCACCACAAACCCATCAGCCCCGAGCCACCAACTGCCGTGCCAACTTCATTCCGGCCATTCCCTTTCTCCTTTGTCCAAGGTGCTTTAACGTGGGGAAGGTCTTGATGCCCTCCTCCGCGCACTTGCTCTTACCAGCCCCGATGCAATCCACGTTTGCGATGAGGATCTGGTCATGATCCTTGTATGCCTCGCGCTAAACGCGGCAGGCAGTGAGTCAGCACGCCCCTGCCCAGCTTCACATCACCTGTCATGCCTAGGGCCTAGCAGCTTACTCCAGCAACCTGAACGCTCCAGCTTACTCCAGCAGCCATGCAGCCATCCTTGAGCCACCTGTACATCAACCTACTTCAGTGTCTACTGCCCACAGCCCCTGTCTTCTCCTGCATGAGTTGGTCCCATGCTGGCTTCATGTTCCTTGGCCAGGCGTCACGTCAGAGCATCACGACATCAGGGGCTCGGGCTATTTTGGGGATCATGGCAGCAAATGTACTGCAAAAAACTAAAAAAACAATGCCTCCTGGGCTCTGGCAGTGGCCGCACCAAGGCCTTGGGCATCGGCCGTCAATGCTGGATTATAGGACTCTTTGAATTTTAACCTCGGCCAGGGGGCGCATAGAATTTCACAAACACGTTTTTGCCAGCCGTCTTCACCTCAGCTCCACAGCTGAGCAGATGGACAAGAGCCCATCTTTGACGGTCCAAGTGTTCAGCCAAGGCACATCCCAGTCCTCCTCAGTTAGGTCCATAGCGGCCGCAGCCGCCACGAGTACGAGTGCGAAGCCAAGGATTCCCATTCCCATGGTGGTCATGGCGGAGCTGCGCTGAGGCTGCAGATGATGGGCAAAGGGCAAAGCGCTGCCAATTGTCGGAGTTATTGCTGGGCCGGTGAGGCCAACACTACAATGACAAAACTCCTGCGCGTGAGGCAAGTGAAGTTCGGATTCTTTTGTAGGTTTCAAGGTCGGCTTTGCTTCCCCACTTTGTGCGGCGAGGCACCACGTAGCTCTTCATCAGAGTTCCCAGCTCAAGGCAAAGGCAACTGCGCAGAGCTTGATTTGAAGACTTTTTCAGTGCCGTTTGAGTCGGCTGGGTGAGGCTGGTCTGATGTTGCGACCGGCAAACCGGCACAAGGAGCCAACGACGAGGTTAAATCTTCGCCCAGGCTAATGGTGCCTGGAGCCCTCCAATGCCACCAAACACAAATCAAGATACCAGTGGTCCAGTTCCGCTGTACAGCTCCTGAAAGGTTTATATACAACTTAGCACTACAAGTGCTCCTCGCTTACCGCTCCTAGAAGGCATTGCACAGGGCCTTCGGGGTTTGTACACATGCGCCTCATGCGCCTCGTCGTGGGGACGAAAGGGCAAGCTGTGCTAGGGACATTTCATGTGCGCCTTGGTAGACCTGTCCCACTTACATCTTGTGGGTTAGAGACTGAAGCTGTGAGAACTTGCAGTGTCAAGATACCACGCTTGTCAAGGTGTAGATCAAGCTCCCCTGGAGTCACAGGAACCGGAGGCTTAAGAAAGTCTTTCTGAGAGTCACAGGAAACAAAGTGCGGCTCAGAAGGTGAGACTCTTACGCCGGCCTCTTGCAATTCAGAAGCCCAGCACTGAGCCTGCCAGGCTCACAATTCTGTCTTTTCTTCCTTCTCAGCCTTCTCCTCGTCCTGCACACTGTCTTTCTCCTCCTTGCCACCTTCATCGCCCTGCTCTGGCGCAGGCGTAGGCTCCTGTACTTTGGCAAGGCTCTCAGTCTCGTTCGCCTTATCCGCGTCTCCCGGGGAGCTGGCTACCTCTGCCGACACATTCACATGCGAATCCGCATCTACGGAACCTTGCACACCCGAAACGTTCCCGACGGGCTCGTCAGTGGAGCCATTAGCTCCACTTAGCGCTGGTGCGTCTGCCTGCTCCGTTCCCTCTGTGCTGGGAGGTTCATCCTGCCCCTCCTGGGCTTCGCTAGAATTGGTATCGGCCGAGGTGGCATTGCCAGCATCCCTAGCGATGCTCGCATCCTTTTCCTGCTTGTCCTTTGCATCTTTTAATTCCTTCACCTTCCGGTGCGCCTGCTGCGAGAGAGAGCTAAGATGAAAACATCCAAATCACAGGAGCCGACGTCTGGCCTTACAAGAGCCCTGGCAACACGAAGACATGAGGCGAATCTTTTGGCACATCTTGTCAGGAATTATCGGCGCGGTTGCATGGATGCTAAACGATAATGACTGCAGCGCCCCTGGTTCCTGAGGACCGAACACCATAAACAACATGAGCTGTAGTCTATAAACTCCTAGTAACCCCCTTGATAACCCCTACAATACTCCCCTAAAAATCCCCTATATAACCCAGACTATAGCTCACTCATATCATGAGCCACCCGTTAGTGACCAAGCATGAGAGGCCTGCACTGACTTCATCAAGCCAAGGCCGGCGTCCTTGATGGCTTTTTCCTTTCTTTCCTTCGCCTCTGCAACGGTGGCTGATTTGGGTGCAAACCCAGAACCTGGAAAAGCATGAGGCGTGCCTTCTGTGCTTCTTCGTACTGCTTTTCTAATCTTTTGAAGAGGTCCTTCGCTCCGCGGAACAAGCCCATCTAGAATCAGAAAATCCCACGGCCCTTCCGGGCCCTGGACTAGACGAGTTGGAAAATCAGGTCTTGAATCACCTAGTGATGGCTGGGAGGTTCTCTGAGAGCTCTGGCAGGCTCCTGCACCTGCTTCTCAGCGGCTGCGATCTCTTCGTCTTTCTCTTTTATCTTTGTCTTCAGTTCACCTCATGTTTCTGCACTCTACGGCAGGTTGCGCAAAGTCTTCACGGATTTCCAGCAAGTAAACACTCTTGCTGCCATGTCTCTGAGAGACAAGGCCATGAACTCCTACAGGGTTGCACATGCCGCTAAGATCATGAAGCCTTTGCCTTCACCACAGTAGAAGCCCCAAAATCCTCCAGCAGCTTTTGCTGGCGATCGTCGCATAGGTCAATGCGCTCAGGACTGCAGGTGGGGCCCAAGTTAGCCTTGCAGTTTTCCCGTCAAACAGTCACTGTTTTGATTCCACAGGTTTCGGACCGCCAGGCCTTGGCAAACTTCTCAAGGGTCTCGAAGTCCCTCCCACCTTTGTACTCCTCCCAGAAATGCTGGCTGCACGTGTCTTGCAATCATCTCAGCCTGCACGACAGTCGCTCCTCGAGGTTGTTGGGGCTGCCGTACCTTGCATCATAAACACCATCCTATTCGGAGGATATGTTATATAAGAGCAGGCCAGGCACTTGAGAGTTGGGAAGCCCTCCACGCCAACCTCTTCGCATTTGGACTTACCGTCACCGATGCAATCCTCAGCGCAAGCTTTGATACGTAGTATGATTGAAGATGTCAGACTTGTGATTCGACTGCCGCTCAACGGTTTAACGCCAACCTGCAGTCAAAAGGCCACATCAGCCACCAAGATGTTCTCATGATCGGCATACTCCTGCACAAGCCCACAAGGTGCTGGTACAGGGCACAAATAACTCCAAGCATGGCAGGACACTGCGCTGGGCGCAGAGCGGGTGACCTTCCCCCCCCCACCGGTGGATGCACTTCCACACAATCGTCCTGCATGAGCTTGTCCCATGCAGGCTTCATCTTTTTGCAGTGGCCACACCACGGCGCAAAAAATTTGACGAAGACAGTTTTGCCCGCCGTCTTCTCCTGCAGTTGACCAAGCTTGCCGTGCCGGGTGCGGGGTAGCCCCAGTGGGTGAAGCAAAGTCAATCAATGCTAAGTGCTGGGCATCCCAATCTTTCTTGGTTATCTCGATGGCCCTAGTCAGCGCCGCCAAGAGCGACGCCAGAAGCAAGGCATTCATTGCAGCGGGAAGATTGTGACGTCTGCGTCACGCACTGCAAGTGAAAATCTGGTTTGCAATCTTAGGCTGTGGTGGGCTTGGCCCAGGAGATGTATGAAAGATTGCATGTAGATATACATTGGGTGACAGAGTATGTACCATCATGTACCCGGCTGTGAAAGAAAGATGGTTGTGGTGATCTATGAGGCTTACCGGTCTGGAAGGGTGGCGGGCGCGACAAGTGGCATAGAGCTGCGAGCCATGACCGTCACCAAACATCATGGCGTTGCACTTCCCAACCTCATCCGAAAGGACTGAACGGACCATGTTCCTGACTCGCTCTTGCCTAGAAAAATCAGACCTTGCCAACCTGCAGTTTCTTCTCAAGTGCATGCGCATGTACACAAATTTAAAAAAGCATGCTTGTCAATTGAACTGGACGAAGAAAATCTGGATTATGGCAATATACTCATCACAACCATGTCGGCGCAAGTTTCCAGCCTCGCGGTACACAGCATCTGCCTGACAGCTTGCTCATGACAAGAAGCCCAGGAGCACCTAGCCTACACTCGAGAGGGGCCCTGACTCAACATGCCCTATCCTCATGGGAAGGTCCAAGAGGACCATGGTCCAAAGTCCAACTCAAATTTGATGTTGACAACGATTCCCCACTTTTTCGACTAATTGGTGCTACTAGTCTTCCCCGCCTCAAGACTTGGGAGGGGCACCACGCCGCGACGGCGGCTGCCCTGACGCGGACCCTCCTCAGATCAGCTCAGGGTTGCTTCATGTTTTTCTAGTGAGAACATGGCAAAGCCAGAAAGAGAACATCCTAGCGGAAAGCCTTACATCATCTTACATCCCTTCACCGCACGGTTCCAAGCCGCTTCGCAAGAGCGCATGTTGAGGCTTAGCTTGCACTTGCATCGCCATCCTCTCGGGTTCCCTCAAAATTGAATGAGTGAGTGTAATGGAACCGTAGGGGGATAAGGTCCATCATCGTCATGGGGCAGAGTTGGGCAGCCAACTCTCTCAGTCTAGTGGGGGAAAATTGTGAGCCTCAAACCGCACACTGTACAGTTAGCTTGGCGACAGGAATGTTGCCAGGCGTGCCAGTGATGTGTCGCACTCAATTTTTGTGGTCGCTTTCGGTCCCAGGGGCTTAGCCCGCTGGGTTCCATAAGCTTCTAAAATGCCCTGAACGCGTGGGATGAGATGCTTCTGGATGCATAATGCACGGTGGTCAATCCGGGCATTCATGTCAGCATAGGTTCTCACATCAGGCCGCAGGCTTAACCAGTGTGTGATGTTGCCAGCGCTACTGTCAGCATGATGATTTGAAACTCAGCTGCTTATGGGTAAATATTCCCTGCGGTGCGGGGAATTTCTTGTTTGGGGAGGTGAGTGAAAAACACTGGCGCGTTGAAAGATCTCAGAGCGCGCGAAGCGTGTGCATTCTTTGGCAGCACCATAGTCGCGATGTCTTATTGTCCACATAGGCGCGGTAGCATCTAAGACACCATTGCGTGCTTGACCACCGCTTCCCGACGGAGAACGCACACGTCAGAAGCCCTCAGCCAATTTGCAACAATCCGGAAAAGGCTGCGGCCAATGACCAGTGAGCTGCATCGCGGAACATTGGCCTTCGATATCATCTACACAAGAACCGATTAGCTTCAGTAGCTTCAGCAGGAGAATCAAGCGACTCCTGGCTTGCAATTGAGAGCGGGGCCTACCCTCGCCATATGGCCCCGGATGCCATCCCGCCCTGAGCCCGGCAGAGGACGCACAGCTTGAGCCAAGGAGTGAGGGTGGAAGGCAAGGACTTGGCCCTGAAACTGTACTTTCAGCTCCGCCCTCCAACATGCTTGAGACTCAGGAAGTGATTCCCTCTCCAATGAGGGCGCCCATGCTTGAAACTTCTGCTCTTCTAGCTGAATGGGTAGTTTGGCTTCAGGGTCTGCCATGCTTTGCCCTGATTGCTGAACTGAACGTCCATCAAGCGTAGAAGGAGCAAAATGAGACCGGTCACATCAGCAGCAGCATGCGGCTTTGCTTCCCTGAGGCTTGGGATGAGCTCATTGAATGCCCAGAAAAAACACGAGGCAGTATACGCATGTATACTCCGGGACATTAACACGCAGGTTAGCCCGCGCTGAACATATGATGCTGAGCCGTAGCACGCACCATAGGCACCCTGACTTGTCCCTCGCCGGAAAAGTAAAACCTACCCTCACTTTAGATGAGTATTACCACCTGTGCACGACTATAGATGAGGGGACAGGTTTTACTGAAAGGGCAGGGACCATTTTGCAGGACCCGCAATGCCCGCTCCATTGCACAAAGTCCTGCCTGCAGCAAACACGGACACTTAAGCCATCATGAGGTAGCTGGTAGAGGAAATAAACCCTGCAGGGGATGCAGGATGCACAGTACGATTTTGGTATTGTTTGCTGATCTCATCCACTTATAATCCACTGACGGCTGACTGTCAGACTCCCAGCTCCTCAAGCATCCCAAGCTTAGGTGTCCGGCTTGGAAATCCACGAAAGTGAAACTTGACTCAGTTGGCCTTCAAGTCCTGAAGCCAAGCCTTGTAGACTGCCTTGCAGAACTCAGGCGTGTAGGCAGCACTGGACTGCAGATTCTTGCCACCTGTCACCTTTCCATCGGAGTCCTGGAAGGTTTGAAATTCAGAGGACTAGAACAAGGTGATCATGAACAAACGGAATGCCATCTTGATGTCGATACCCCCCGAATGCCCGAAAGCAGCACGTTTCTGAGACCCGATCCTTGGTGTAGTACTTTGCCATTCCATTTTTTGTCTGCCTCGCGGGGCTTCAGAAATTCAAAACCTGGAGCCTGGAGTGAGCTGCACGTGGGACGTGACAAACCCCTTTAGCTTGAAGCTTCACGGCTTCATGAGCTTCCTGCCTGTTCTTGATCTGCTTTCGGCTGGCATGTGTCATCACACGGCGGAGGGAGCCGAGAGAAGGGAGGTTGCCGATGAGCTTTGTTCCCTTTTGCATCTCCTAGGTTGCTCATGCCAGAGTTTAGCGTTAATTCTTGGAGTCAGGGATTTCAGCGACAGCAGCCAGATGAAGCAGAGGGTCATGCCCAAACAATCCCATCCAGGTCCAAACAAACTTCATCTTGAGCCGCTTGACCATGGATGAGGTATTTCTCATCTTGAACATGCATGAGCTGCCCGGCTGCTCCGTGACAGAGTAGACGCAGTCCTGCCAAAAAGACTGCAAATGAGTGGGCGTTTTGGTGGCTGAACCAAATACAGTTGTATTCTGCATGTGAAACACCATACCCAAAGGAAGGGCATAATCTTACTTAATGGGTACCATAGTATCTCCAAGTATAATTCTGCTACCCACATGCTTTGGGGTGCCCGCCTCAGAACGGACGGCATTGTATCTAAACTTCTGAAGCACAAACTGCTGGGCCCTGCCTTCACCTCGGAAAGCTCCTCCAAGAACACGCACATGTTCGCCACGATCCGATTGCTCATTCGAACCTTGAGGTTCCTGGTTTCTCCGATGTACTTGTTGTCCTCTCTTCGATTGTGGACCGACTTTGAGATCCACACGTAGAGACTACAAGGCGGGCCCCCGAAGATCAGGCCTTTCGTCATCAGCTTCTTCCCTGCTTTGCACAACTCCCAAAAGCCGTTCGCACTCGTGAGATCGTGCTCGCTGTTGGTCTTGATGTCGTAGGCGAAAGCCTCCCAACCAGCTTTGCGCCAACACTTGGACATCTGCCCCGAAGCGCCGAACAGGTCTAGCATGGCGTACCGCTCCTCGTTCCCGGGGCCTGCCAAGAAGGCCCGGATCTCCTTTCGGTGCTTCTCTGCCTGAAACCACGCACCCTCTTCGCATGCCGTCTGGACGTCATCATCTTGCACCTAGCACAGGGCCCAGCAAAAGGCCAACAAGTTTCGACAAATACCTGGACAAGCTCTTGAGAACCCCACTTGACTTTGGTTCTTTGCGTTCACCTCTCTAGGTTCGTAGAGAAAGCTTGACATGGCATGTATACATACATATTCAAAGCCCCACAGCAACCGAGGAACCTTCTCATCGCCGGCATGAGTGCGCTTCGGCATGGCTGAGCAAGGTCAGCGGCAGTGATGCCTGGAGAGGGGCACACAAAAAACAACCAAAATCCTCGAGCCATTGCCATTCAGCATGTCAAAATGCACAAAACATCTCTGCCACCGGCGTACAGAATCTGGTCCAAGTTGCTTTGATTGCAGGAGTGTGGAGACTGTCAGGAGTCAAGTGTCACTTCCCAGTTTTAAGCTCCTGGCTGAGACTCTTCGGATATGTTGACCGTCATGCGTTGCGTCCACTCCACTTGCAAGAGACACGGCGAGGTGCCATGAAGTGCTTTATTGCACACATCCTCCGCTACCCCAATGCGGCCAAAGTGACTTCCATGCCGAGCATTCTAGGGTTAAAGTCTTCCCTTGTGCGATTTGGGTAGCAAAGGTGCTGCGGCATCCCTTCGGGATTGCAGAACTAGAGATACTGAGTTTGCAGGACACCTGTCTTTCTGCTTTCACATGGGCTGTATTACGTGAATCCAACTGGAACCCTTCGGACTGGTGCCTGGCAAAGCTTGGTGACATCGTCACACACCCACTTGGCGGTGAAACTGTGTCAATTACAGGGCACCTTGCGATTCGCTATCGCGAGTTATGTCTTGCGGGATTGCCGCGTATGGGTTCGAGCCGCCTGCGGGGCTACATGGGCCAAGCATAGAAATGGGACGAGGTTGCAAAGGCAGGCAAGATCAAAAAGCCCAGTTGGGCTACAAACTACAGCCCAGAAAGGCCCCACTCAGATAACGACTTTTCGGACCTCACCGGATGCCAGGCTGGCGCGGCCTGGTGAAGCATGGCGAAGCATTTTTGAACGGAGAGGATGTCAGAGGTTTCAGACAGGCAGCCGCTTGACGCCCTGCCTGCTGCACTTGCTGTGCTTGCTGTGCTTGCTGCGCTTGGTCGGCTTCCTGGCATGGAGCCAGCTTAGTCAGAGACTGTCAGCTGCGCAGGCTGGCCTCCTGCTCCACGCTCTCATGGCTAATTCCAGAGGGCCCTTCAGGCAGTGGCGGGGCCTGTTGCTCAATTGGAAAGCTGCTTCATCCAGATGCCCGAAACTTGAACTTCTGATGGGAGTGGACTCTTCTGCCCGAGTCTTATGTTGCAACGTGTTATACTGTCATTGCGTCCCTTTGTTCTTCCGTGCCTCTTCCATCGAGATCCACCTTCGAGAACAAACGAATGTCGCGGCCAAGGGGACTTTGTGCCAAGAATAAGTCCAGTTCCCAACATCTACCCGAGGCCGTGGCATGTCCAGGTCGTCCCACTGAATGTCAATAGGCCGGGACAGCTGCCTTTCAGACCGCGTCAACCCCAAAGCCAAGCTTTTTGCAGCTCCTGTTGATTTGTCAACCGTGCAGCGCAGCACCTCGCAGATATCTTTTCGTAGTCGGGCTCCGGCCTAGGAAGATGCCAAATCACTGTCGCAACCCGTCACTATAGTAGCTGACAACGAAACTACCACAATCACAACCAATGCTGCTAGTGGTGCTAATTCTGCTGCTTCTGTTACCACTGCTACTTCTTCATGTGGTTCGCCCGCCTGGAGAAAATGGGTCGCAATGCTTTCCACCCCTGGTAAGGGTGCTTGATCGAGGAATTTGCAGCGCATGATTTTCCGCCGCGGAATGGCTTGACGCAAGCAGAAACAGCAGCAGCGGCGGCGGCGGCGGCGGCGGCAGCATTCCCGCCGCAGCGCGCCGTGTTCATTTTGCGGGTTCAGGCTTTTTCTGGTTCAGGAAACATGAACGCCTTTCTCTCGGCCAACATGGATGCTCGGGGAACCATAGGCAGCACGAACACTAGTATCTTGGCCAGCATTGGTTGCTCGGGCAAACCCGCTGTTATGTCGAAACCGTGTGCCCTGGCAGCACGAGCATTCTTTTCTTGGCACGTATGGGTGCTCAGGAGAACCATAACGTTTCTCTTGGCCCACTAAACTCAAATTCCAGTTCCTGGAAAAAGATGTCAAAACCAATGTTTTATGGCAAGCTTTATGAGAGCATCCTTCTGGTTAAGATCATCAGCGTCAGGACATACTTCGTCAGGTAAGTCAAAATCTTTCCTGGCAGTTACAACGTGCATCTGGCACGTTGCCTCACGCTCTAGATTTGACCTTTTTAAAGCCACACTGCCAGAAAAAGATGGTTCCAAGGGAAACAGCCAGCAACAGTAGCCAATGCTACACAACGCATCCTAGGGCATTCCCTGTAAGCTTTGCAGCTTCTTTCCTTCACCCCTATTAGTTGTATCGGCCGTATCAAAACAACGGAAGTGGACAACAGCGCAAACAGGCACGTCGCACGTCCGGGGCAGAAACGGAATCCACGGCGGCTTCATCTTCAAAGCCTTGACTTCCTGCCGGCACATGACACCAGGATGCTTCGCAGTGACTGCAAAGACCGCACCACAAATATGTAAAAAAGGGCGCATGTGCCGCGTGCATATACACACACGCCAGCAGACTAGCGCTGTGAATTACAGCATTATTCAAGTACACGTGAGAGGCAGAGGAAGACAATAGACAAGATTCAAAGCTGCGCAAGTACATGCATGCAGTTATGCATGTATGTGTACGGTTTGTCTGTTTGGCATATGGAGCATACACGCCGTCATATAACATACAAGCCAGAGCACAAGTATCACCGGCCTCCCAGTCGAAGCCATTGAAGAATGGCAGCGACATCAAGTTGCCTCGCGCCGCCACATGTGCTTAGACTACCTCCTCCCCTCTCAGTTCTACGATGCAATTGTTGCCTCGGCCTTCAATCTAGCTATTAACATGGGCCACCAATTGCTCGACCCCAACATCAGGTTGCATGCCCCTCCCTCTCCACATGAGACCCTGCGCGCACCAGCCGTTGAACATGCAAAGCATACGTCATGCGTACGTCACGATACTATTCTCCCGTACACATATGCATGTGCCTGTTTATCTGCACGAGTATGTCGCGCCTTTACAGACAGACGTACGTGTATAAACATTTGTATAGAAAATATGTGCGTGTAGATGTATATATAAAAATAAATCTGAGGTTGTACACGCCTTTCCTCCCGGCTAACATGCTAACTGCCAAATAGCCCTTCTCAAGGCACCGGACATGGACCCCAATTCGCAGACACCCCTATTTTACCATATCGCAGATGCGCAATAAGCCTAAACTCTGCCAGGATGCTGATGCCACCACGCTGCATGGTCAGCCGGTCCTCTGACAAAATCCCCATGCATGGCTACAAAAGCACTATCAGTTCCGCAGCTCTGTCAGAAGGGCATCTAGAAACAGAAACACAGGCACAGCCACTCAATCAGCACCACAGCAAGCTGAATATCATTGACCTTTGCATGATCCAAGTCCCAGTGCCATGACATGCGCTTTCAAGCAAAGAGGATAGCCCACGCATGGTTTGGAAAGGTCACTCCTCTGGTTTCTTTCGGCACAGCGAGCGCACACACTCTTCCGCCTTCCGAGGGCGTCACAAAAAGCCTTCTTTGTGGCAAGTCTTCCAAGACACGCATGCTTCGACCAAAATTCCTTTCATACTGGAGTGAGGAGCATTGTCAGGGAGCCTCTGGCGGGAAAGCTGCGGGGAACTGTACCTTACTGAGACCTCGAAAGCCATTCAGAGCCATAGGGTGCATGATGCCGTGCCCACTCTTGCGCATGATATAGCCCTGATACTGGGCGCCAAGCCTTTAATGATATTCTTGTAGATCTGTGTCACCTGCCATGGTCGGGATTTGCATGTTCATAGACTTGACAGCTGGACCCCGTCATGGTCCCAGCGTCTCAAATACAACGACACAACTACCAGTACTAGTAACTACCCTACGGCCCCAAGAGCCTCCGGCGCATCGAACGGACTGTGCCCAGCCATCATGATGAACAGCATCACCCCTAAGGCCTCAGTCACGATGCATGCTCAAGCTGGCACAGCTGCCTTAAAAGCCGCCCCACATGTGCCCGCGCTCGAGTCTGAGAGAATGACCCACCAGTCAGCAGCTCGGTTGTGCCCAACCTGCCAAGCACGGACAATCGCATCTTCAAAGACTACAGTGAGATCTCCGAAGCCACGTCACAAGAAAATGGCAGCCTGCTTCAGTGTTTCGGGCGCAAAGTAATCCGCGGTACCGCATACCTGTGTCTGCTCAGCTGCTTGTGTGAGAGCAAACCTAGCTGTGGAAGCCGAAGAGCTGTGTAGGTCTTCCCTGTCACCATCCTGAGCACGTAGACTACACATTACTACGCTACTTGCACCCTCCAAGACCACTTTTCGGACCAGAAGCTTGGCGATGCCCATGTCCGTCAGCTTCGCGTACCCCTAGCCAGGCAACCCTAGACAATTTGCAGTCAGGCTCCTTTTGCCGGCCTGGCCTGTGAGTTCACCAAGCAATTCTCTAGCTTCAAATCGCGCCAGACGATGTGCCTGTCAAGAGCACCATGTTCTCAGTCATTACACTGCAGCAGGCACGTTACATATCTTAACAGTAGTCACTCAACGTCCAGGCAGTGCTTCGGCGGGGCCAAGAATATCCAAGAATTGCTTTCCCAAAACTTGCCAGATCGACTTGGAATGAATGTGCGAAAGGCCCAAAGCCACACAGGCAATGTAGAACTGTGCCTTGTCCTTGAGGGGCCACCAAGCAGAGCAAATGAATCATGACTGTCTGCTCCAAATCATTTTGAAGTTTGGGTCCCTAGCCGCTTTACCCCACAGATTGTAGTCATTGTAAATGTCGAAGAGCTCACCACCTTCGAGATGCATCAGATTTTCACATCTTAGAACAATATCAAGCACTAAAGACTTGCTTCTCCGAGCCAGCCTAGAGCGACTTCCAAGAGGAAGTACACCTGAATTGCATGCGGAACACGTTATACAGTTATGCCCTCATTTGGCTGGCTATCCTAGGCCCTGGGCATGTTCTAAAATGTTGGGGCCAAGTTACGACCAGAAACCAAAGGTCCCTGGTTCAAAGATTGGAAGGACAAGCCAACAAATGTACCCAAGATCACGAGACGTGTAAGCAACTGCGCATGGACATCCCGATTCACCCCTCAGCAGAAAGATGATCTACACGTTCCGGAACCTCTTAGCAGCTGCCAGTCTTCCTACCTCGACCAGATCCGCCTTGCTCTACACTTGCAGAGCAAGGAATCCTCACTCCTCTCTAGATGCCAAGACAGCAATGGTGCCTTGTCTAAACAAAGATGCTGCATGTTTTTTTGCGAAGGACTACGTGACTACCGTTTGCATACAGTGTGCACGGTGTACTCTTTCACAAGAACCTCGTTCACACACCCGTTGCGGTCGCTTCCGTGGAATGGCCGGCACAATTGCACGCAAATGTTTCATGAGTTGCTGCTATACATGAACAGCACAGTATGACCCGCTATGCAAAATTACAGTCAGGCTATGTGTTCATGCAGGGCACGAAGTGGCTGTCGTGAAAGCAGCCGTGCATGTGGATGATGAAGGGGCTGTCCTTCACAATGTGCTAAGCAGAAACCATGCTTCATCATGTAGCAACGCTCTCCAGCACAGCCAGGACATTCCGCTCGTTCTTCACCATGGCTTCTTGCTTCTCCTGGTGTACAGCACAAAGCAAGTCGACAAGCAATCCTCCCACATTGACGTTCTACAGCGAGCAGACCACTTGGCATTTTCCATTCGGAATCAGAAAGCCCCATGACATGGAGGTTCCTACGCCTGGCCGTAGTCAGGGCGCAGTGATTGCATTGAATCAGTGATCCCCCTCAACACTTGATGGCCATCACTGCGCCACAAACAATTTGCAACCCTAAGTGAAACTGTGCGCTTGGCGCACATGCTGTTGATCACTTCGGATCTACCAATCTGCTAACACCCGCGGAACTTCAAGATCTGGATCTAAATGTAAGTGCGAGAATTGCTCAAGACATGCTTTATCGGATACCCCGTCAAGCTGGCGGTCTGTGCTTGCATGCACGGAACAGCTCGATTATTGAGCTCACTCTTCTTTGCGGACCGGAAGCTTGGAGACTTTCTCCTGGATGCGACTAGATTGGGTCTGTGTTCTCGATTCCCTCGCCTCGGGTTTGAGTTCGAAGCTTCTGCTGCCCTGCCCCTGACTCCAAACCTTCACGCAGCTCCTGGATGAGTTCCATTAACTCGTCTAACCTGGCCAGCACTGGCCAGCAGCTTTTGTGCCAGAATCAAGGACAACATGCCGCCCTACGGTGAGCTCTCCGGGCAAATGCAGTGCATCCGACGAAGCGCCCCGTGATTCTCTCAAAACTTGGCCTGTCAGGCAACGCTTCTCCATCCACGGACACCAAGTGCCAGTCCTTCTGGACTCCGAGTCCTGAAGAAATGATGACAGCGTGGCAGGGAATCACGATGTTCACGGCCCGGGGTTCTTAAGAAGGTTCAATTCAACTCTACTTGTGTCTTACTGGGTCAGGCACTTATGAAGCCTTGAAGACTAGCCTTTCGCAGCCAAGTTGCTCTCACTGTAAGAACCTGGTCGGCAAAGCTTCACCCGCACCGGTACCTCACGTGCTTGCGCCCTAGTCGACTAAAGACCTATCAATACAATGTAAAGTTCAAAATACCTTTCCTATAATGGAACTATAAAGAAGCTGCGCAAGCTGCAGCAGACTGCCAGTCTGGATTGAGTGGTGCTTTGTGGGACACGGTGAATCATAGCAAAGGGGAGTCTTTCTCTCGTGATGATTCACAAATAGTACTACTGTTGATAGAAAAGGCAGTGCATAATCTTAGTATATCCTAATATGCCAAACTAGCATAACTCTCAGAGCATAAGGTGCTAGGGTCTTTAATATCAACCGCAAGTCTTCTGAGTAACTCGACTGTGGCCTGAATGAGACTATGGCATGCTGCTACGCCACCTAAACCCAAACATACTTCCATGACACAGTTTACCAGTGATACCAGGGCTCGGACCGACTTGGTGAACATGATCCCCCAGGGCTGGTGCTCAAAGGTCACATCCACAATCTGCACGCACACGACCCTATCATTTGTTAAAGGAAACGACAATGGAACTACTGGGTGGCCTCTGCCTTTTCCATTCTCAGCTATGAGCAACAGTTAACATCTGAAACCACTCACGTTCCAGGACTGTTGGTATTGCTCTCACTATGGGTCCACAGTGCCACATGTCGCGGCCGAACAGCATCTCTGCTGCCCGTTAAGCTGGGTAGCACGAATCTGAATTGTGGCTGCGCCCTTGCCACAGGGACCGTTCATGCAAATCTTGTTCCTGATGACAGCGTGTCGGGGCTGGCCTCAAACTACTTGGAAAGGTCAAAGTCAAGTTGCCGTTTTTTTTGTGATGTCAGTCTTGCCATACCATATAAGCTAATGGCCCGCAGCAATCCCCAAACCAAAAGGCTGAGACAAAAAAATAGTCATCAGACAAACACCGCAACTCCGAATCCCGAGACTTGTTATCAACACCGACCAAACAATGACATGCACAAATCCAGCCTTCAAGGTAGGGCCGGGCTGGCTGAAGGTGAGCACAACCTGAGACCCCGGGAGCTACCAGCCGCTTGAAGCGTAGCCCGCGGTCATTAACAGGATCATGGAAAACATTTCCCGATCCTTGTTGAATGTCCATCCTTTGAATTCCATGCACCTTCAACCCTAAAACAGCTGTGGAAGCTAAGCAAAACCATCACAAACAATGCAGAGCCGAGCCGCTTGGCTTGCCTTGGGCTCCTGGCCAGCAGAGCTTTGCCACTTGCATGCATACTGCAGGGCAAGGTCTCATTCCGGCAGGAGTGTGACACAGGACCGGCACTTTTTTTCCCATAGCAAGTTCTAGAGTTTAGGGCTTAGGGTTTGAGGGATTTCAAGGGTCAAAGGATTAAAAGGGCTGAGGGCCTCTTATCCACAGAGGCCCTAAATATCCGCCAAGGTCACTTGCACAGGTCTGGCTTCAAGTTTACTTGGCCCGCAGCCTCCGGGAGTTCGGCGGCCCTTGCCTGCATAAGCGACATCCTGAACATCAGGATAGAAATCGCTACTATTCATAGGGTGGACCATGCTTAATCTCTGAGCACAGCACAAATCTGCAGGGACTCGAACTCCATCAATAGCACGCACAACCTCAGCAAGGGCGTAGGACTGACAATCACGCCCATGCCCAAAGAGTACTTCTGCTTTAGGACCTACCCAGCACCAGTCTGCTTTCCAAGGGGCCCAGTTTACCCTCACCGCAGCTTTCTCTGCTACGGTGTTCTTGCGCACACGCTGTACGACAATTGGCTCCTCAGTCAGACGTAGTCAGATGCCCATCTCCCGTCATTGCGTCCTGTCATCTCTACCTTGCCCATGCCTTAAGCCCCGCAAAACCTACAAATTCCCTCCGCCCAGGTTCAGTACCACTGCAGTCAAGGCCAATGGGTCTGTGGAAGAACTCCACTTCCTGCTCATTGCGAATTGATCCGACATCGAGTCCCTTACAGCAAGCAAGAGACACTCAGGCCTTTTCGGTGCCATCACGTCTTTCAAACGTGATAACCATCCTCTGCGGCCGCTGAGAATACCTTGCGGCGCGAGCAAAGCTTAACAAGCTGAAGCACCAAAACCCAGCGTGACCTAAGTGTGGTGGGCATCACGACAATCGACAACGTTTTCCCATCTCCGCGATGTCTGTCTGATGGATGGATGGAAGTCATGCAGCTTGCACAGCATGGGTCTCACAAGGTTCGGCACCAAAGCCTCTACAAATAAGGACAGCCAGAAATCAGAAGCAACATGTGCTGCAGTGCTACAGTAGCTGATTTGAGCGAGCTGTCCTTCCAAGGCCTTGGTCCAAGGGACTTGCCGAACATGTACTGTATTAACGGCTCCAAATGGCTCTTGCCCCCACAGCCCAGAGTCCTTCTCTGCAGGCTACATGGCCGTGCCCATACTGCCAAAGTTCAAAGGAAACGGTTGCGGATTCAGAAAATCTCGAATCATCTCAAATCCAGCGCCAACCTAAAATTCAGCCATTGCTACAGCGTTGGTAGACGCAGGGGTGCCCATGCACGGCATCCCAGAAAATGGGGTGAAAATTCATGCGCCATCACGAAAAACTTCCACTGTACACAATTGACTGTTGATTGGTGGCTCCTGCGAGACTTACACAGTCTGCAGTACAGGTGCGGCTAATCACCTTCCAAGACGAGACACTGTGCGTCGGGTTCGAAAGGGTGGGGTCTCCCAACAGCCGGTCGTAGCATGCTTCATGGCTCTGCGTCTGTCAAATGCTGGCGAGTCAAAGCAAGCTGTTGTGGGGCTTGTTGGGTAATTCAGTCTCAGCTTCTCAGGCGGCACACCCTTGACAAAATCATTCTGGCAGTTCCTTGGAAGGCTAGTTGAAGGTGTCAAACAGAACGCAGCTTATGACTTAAACATCCTGATTCGGCACCTCTTGGCGATCTGCCTTTCATGAATCAGACGTGAACTCGCTTTTAAACCCTGACAGCAGCTAAGCACCACCCAAAAATCACATATCCAGACTGCTTGACCGGCACAACCCTGCTGCTTGCCAAAGACTCATGGCTGTGTCCAGGTCCTCAAATGCCTGACCCGTTGAACAAAGGTAGATGGAGCTGCCCAGGGTGGGGTTCACAGTCCGGCGCAGGCCATTCTTGTACCGAGCAACGACCTGGACATACGTCTGGACAGCACCATGGACCAAGGGAACTAGAAAAGCAATGAAAAGGCATGACCATGCTACCCGAGGCACAGAGTGACGAGGCCCCTTCGGGCGTGTCTCGCCGACAACATCTGTCTGCTGGATCTGCTTGAACTTTTTGGACGCCGTTGCGCTCAAACTTCCATCACCATGAATCGTGACGATGGACTGTGGCTCCGGAGTAGCTTCCTCGATGTATCTTGGGTCCACAGCGAACTCACGGATAAGCTCCACGGTTTTGGGGGGCAGAAGCCCGTCCAAGCTCTCTGTAGCTGTCACTATGGTAGCATTGCCATCTAGTGGCATGACCTCCTTCACAATCAAGGTGGATGGAGGCGCCTTGCCCGTAACCGCTCCCATGGTGTTAAAGACACGCGGGATGATCGAAAGGGAGGCTGCTGTCGTGTCGGTTCTTATTGAGCCTTTGTGGCAAGCGTCCGACCACACGTCGGCCTTGTGTTCCTCCCTACGCAGGTATGCCGTTATGCAACAGATGCAACAAGGGTCGCAAGCTTCTGGAAACTGAGGCAGCAACGATATATACCGTCTCGAGTCCTTAGCTAGATGCAGATAGTATCTCTGCTGTCGGAACGAGACCCTGAATGATTTCAGCACACTTTTCAGCCTTCAGTAAAGGCTCTACTAGGCGGTCTTCCGCCGGGACGGCTGTGACTGCTTCCACCGGCGACCCCACATCGCTCTGGCATCAGCTCTCAGTTGCGACGCAGACAACCAAGAATAACCAATATCTAAACTTTTGAAACATGGCCCCCCACCTCGCAGCAGCAGTGCATGCTGGCGCGGTCAGGGTGCCCCTCGGCAGGGCCTCAGCCAAACCCACATAATACTCTCCAGCACGCACAGTCTACGCACAGTCTTGCACCCCAAAGGTCCAAGGCGCCTAAGGCGCCTGTAGCCCAAGGCCCGTGGCCCGCCGCATTCTTCAGCCGATAAAGCCACAAGAAAAGGGCTGCGTTTTGAATAAACCAAAGGCGCTGCATGCCGTCTGACAGGCGACTCACAGCGAAACAAGGGCCAAGCATAGTGAGCAGCTAGGAAGGGCAGCATTGGCTCAGTAACTCAAAAGGAATTCTCTCTCACCGGCCTGCTCAAGGTGTTGTTTGTTGAGACCTTTCAACGCCTCACAGTGTAGCCGCGAGTATCTCCAAGCCAAAAAGAGCATGCTTCAGCATGCTTCAGCTGAAGCCAAGAATCTGGCATATTCTTCCCGTGTCTCCTGTCAAAGTGCTCTGGCTGCAGCAACGCAGCCCAATGTACCCCAGAATCCTGCCGCGCTACCCTTACTTCCCCCTCGCTTGCAATCCTTCAAATCTACATGTGAAGCTGGAGGGAAGTTGTGGAAAGGGGACTGGCGTGAAAGAGCATCTTTAAGACCTCAGAATATGCCCTATGCAAGGACTAAACACATGTCCACACCCTGAGTCTGTCCTTGTCTCTCAACAAGAGGACTAAGCCGAAGTTGCCTTCCCCCAGTGCTCCAACCTCAGAAATGGCAAAGAGCAAAACACTTCTTTGGTAAACTCGGGAGTTACCGCGAGGGCTTGCAGGCTACCTGGTCGAAAGATAAGAATGATCAAAAAAATATGTTCTTCCACAAAGAATGAAAAGTGACAAGTGTTCTCGAACTTGTTCGGCGAGCTCGATGACATGCTCCATGCTTAGGCATCATCAGCATTGGCATTGGTATTCCTGTGGCTCCTGTGTTATTCTGGTGTTCGTTGCTTGCGCCAAAACGGAAACTTATACCACAGTCGCACGAGTGTCGCACGGTTCTTGCCGCTGCTTTTCATGCTGTGACTTCGTTCTCGAGGCTCCGGCAGTGTCAAAGTCCTGTGCTATCCACAAATGAAGCTGTTAAACACCAAACCCGCAAATCACTCCAACTTGCCCGGCCCGGCAGACAAAGCTCACGCTCATGCCGAGCACCGTGTGCAGTTGTCGATGAACTCTCGATTTGACAGGTCCTTGATCTGCCGCAGCGGCACCCCGCGCTCGCTGATGGTGGACGGGCGCCTCGGCTTGCACCACAGCAATCCGCTTTACGCGACTTTTTCCGGCCAGGCCCGAAGCCGCTGTGTGGTGCTCGCGCGCCGCTTCTTCAGCCAGTTGCTGACTTCCTGCTGGGCAGAACACGAAGATTCTGCAAAAGTCACAGATCATCATAGATCAGGGCTGCAGCATGCTGCAGCAGCAAGTCTGCAAAGGCTCAGTGGACAGGTGACGTCCTGTGCACTGCCATTCAGCGCTCGGACCTGCTGGAGAACCGTATGGTCCTTCAAGATCCAGGTTGTTGTGTCGTGGTTGCAACATTTGAGAGCAAAAGAGAAGCCAGGACCAAAGTGAGAGCTCTAAACTCAGAATGGACAGCAATCTTCAGCTGGCCCCTAGCAGCTCGCCGGTCCTGAGAGGCTTGCCTAACCTCAGAATGACCAATGGCCAGACAGACTCTTCAGAAACGCAAACTCGCGACATCTGCCGCTGCTTCAAGCTTTTGTCTGGAGCCTTTTCAGGTTCTTTGCCAAGTCTTTGCGGCATTTCAATGCCAGCTCCAACTGCGTGAAACATGCTCACCGAAAACCTAGACGTCAAGCGTTCGGAACTCCGTTTCAAACTTGCTTCTTGAGCTCGGACACGAAATCCTCTCAAGCAAGTGGAATCCACAACTGGGTCCTCACCAATGCCAAGGCATGATCAGTGCATCACGCGCTATTTCATGTTGTTGGACTGGTCACCCACACTGCAAGAAAGATAGTGCCAACAAAGAAAACATCGGAAACGAATCCATGGACCACAGCCTCTGCCAGAATTCTGGCGACTTCCTCAGTTGCCCAGATCCATTGCCCTTGTCCACCCTCTGCACCCGTCTCCCCAGCATCTGCCAGCACAAAAGGGGTGAGCCACAACACCACAGAATCACTTGCTCTTTTCAAGCCAGGGCTCCGGTTTGCCATGGGATTTCACAGCACCATTCAGCTTGTCCATGAGTGTCTGCAAAAGCCCCCAAATCCAGGAGGCACGCAAAGACAGCTTACGCTTGCGCATTGACGGGGCCAGCTGGAGTGCAGCTCAGACATGACATCACGCTTTTTGCTGTGCCGTCATCAGGACGTCTGCCTTGTGGCTTGTCCTGATCAAAACACATGACCTACCTGCAGCTTTGCCGCATAATCTCAACACCGCGAATTAGAAGGCTATGCGCGAAGCCTTGTTGTGACTTCAGGGGTCCTAATGCTTGCGTACCGTATCTGCTGTTTGCAGGCTCTGCCGGTCATTGGCCCCTCCATCAGCTGCAGCGCCCTTTCCAAGTTTGTCAAATCGGCTCTAAGAGGGGTCTGAGGCATGGGAAACCTCACCTGCAGGCATCTGGAGGTCACGCATCGATGTGTGTAAAATTTGACCCTGGTGGTAGCTCAGAACAGAACGCAGACCTGCCCGGTTTAGTCAAGAATGTTCGCTCTAACCTATCCCCAAAGCCTTTCCTCAAGACATTCCTCAAGTATGTGTTGGGGCTGCAGGAAACCAAGCTAAGGCTTTCATGAGAGAGCCTGGCCCGCGTCCCAGCGGGCTTGGCCAGTACCAGGCCGGGAAGTCCGTGAAGTTGCACCTGAATGGAATGTAGCTGAGAATCAGAACATAGATCGTAGCCGTCGTAGCCGGATAGGTCATAGAAATAATCAGCACTAACATTTGCCGCCATCATCCGCCATCCCTCACGGATCCCAACTGCAAGGTCAATCAAGCCAATGCTACAATTCTACTACCGATCAAAGCTGAAACCTGAAATCTAAAGTCCTTCCCTATGAAAAACTTCTGTCACAAGGATCCCTGCCATGAGAGTTCCATGACGATCATGCAAGCTCGTGGGCTTGATCTGACGTGATGTTGTTGAGAGATGAAACACGTCCCTGCCAAAAGCGCCGCTGGAAATTCCTAAGCCTAAGCCAAAAACAAATATCGCAGTTTCTTGTTCGAAACAGCCTACAGGACCCCTCAAGCCAGGCTGCTTGTACGCTGGCGTTTTGCCGCAGTGCAAGGCATTTGCCACATTCTCGGTCTGGCGGATGGTACAGCTGCCGCCCTGGAACAACTTTGCTGCAAGCCCTTCCAGTGGGCAGCAAAAACCATGGATCAGGGAAGCTGAAAGTGAGTCTCTGACTCTTCCGGCTTTGGGGTCAACTCATCTTCTGGCTTGGGGCTTCAGCGCCTTCTGGACCACCAGATGCACAATACCTGCCGGGCCAATCCTGACGAGCTGGCTGGTTTCAGGTTGAGTCCACTCTGGAAACTTCACTGGAGAGTCAGGCGCATGCAGAAAGAGCGCTCAAAAAAAATTCGCCGAGGAACGCATTTTGCTTCTCCAGGAACCTCAACCAACCAAACGACAGGCTTGAACGACAAAAGTGACTTTCTTCACCGCAATGCTGGACCAAGTAGCTGTTGGAGGGAGGATCCCTCCTGTAGGGTAGAAACGCACCAGCGACTTGCTGGACTACTGCCCCTAGCACATACAAAGCTGCACTTCGCGCCTTGTAACACCAGCCGAAGGCTAGGCTCAGTGAGGGCGTGGCATGCGTGTAGATGGCCAAGTTTCCTGCAAGGGAGGCCACTTCAACAAGGTAGGATGCATGATGCGGCTGCGGCTGCTGCTGATGTGCCACGCAACCCTCAAGCCCAACTCCTCACCACAGAGCAAAACCACATAAATCGCAAAGTTTGTTTGTGATTTCAGCTGAGCCTGCATGTAACCTCCCATGTTGGGGAATGTCTAGTTCGCAGAGGAACCGCAAACATGGCCCTGCTAATTCTCGGAAGGTTGGTCCGAAATGCATTGTAGAAACATGTTGTGCTCTATCTAAATGCGGCTGTTGGCATCTTGGCCACTGCCTTGCAACTACAAGTGCTGCAATCGCCCTGCCTGCCGAGGGCGGAAAACGTGCCTGCAAGCAATTTGATTTAGCGCAGGGCGCAGTCTGCAAGCAGAATGCTGCATGTGAGATGACATCTTCTACATGTGCTCTGATGTTGCTAGGAACCACAGACCACATGACACGCTGCCCAATTTTTTGCAGTACGCCTTCAGCGTCCGCACTGCCTCAACCACTCTCTGAACATACAGCGTGTCGTTCTCCTGGCTGGACAGGGAGGCATGCCGTGCAATTGCAGACGAGGCTCTGCCCAATTATTGTGAACATTTTTGCACGCAACTTCAAACATCCCACACCCCAGCTCGAAATGTCTCGCGAATCCAATGCCCTCTCCGGCGTCTTGATTGATGGAGCACCATAGCTCCAATCCCAGCGCTCGCTGCACTCTACGAGGTCTGGCACCTACAAACACAAGCTAAGCCGAAGCAGAGAAGCCAACCCTGGACTTATCAGCCTAGTTGCTGTGTCTCCTGGAGCCTCGGCGTTAAAAGCGCGAAAGGCACCACTTTCTTGCCGAGCCTGCAAGGTGCCGCATCAATAGTGGCAGGCCAAACATCCAACTGCCATGGCCAGGCGCCTCAGAGAGAAGCGGCTCGACCTTTAGCTGCATGTTCAATACCTTCAGGGGAATTGATCCAAAAAGCAGGGCATGCAAAATGTGCAACCAGCCCTGCCTTTGCGAGAGGCATGGCAGTCTGCAAGGTCCGCGTGAACGGCGAAACCAGTACATGGTCTATCCGCGGCGCGTGCTGCCGCAGCCAATCCTTGTATTAGTAGACTGCCATCCAAGGCTCTGAAACGTGTCCCAGGCAATTCCCCTCTGCATTGGTCTCATATACTTCTCATATCCAAGGTTCTGCAGTATACCGCGCTTGCCGTCGGCCGCATGGGGTCAGGGGCGGATTGTTGCCCATCAACTTGGTCCGTTGGGGAACTCGCACTGCTGAACGCAAACAGCCTTGTGCAAAGATGCAGGCTTCAGACTTCAGACCGGTCACCTTGGAATCGAAGCAAATCTCATCGGTCGTCTCGCTGCAGGGCGGGTAGCCTAGGCTGGACACCCGATGGCCATGGAAAGTCCGTTCCCTGCACACACACGCACAGCACAAGGAGCCCTCGGCCTGGAGCCATGCTGACGAGGCTCTGCTATACTTGTCTCCATGCCTTGGAGCGCATGCAAACACAAAGAACTGCAGTGATTCTCAGTGGCCGAGGCAGGCGGCATGGGAATAGATAACCTTCCAAAAGGTCCTGGCCTGACGATGAAGATGTGCTGCTCTGTTGTCCAAGCCGGAGTCTCCAGATCCGTTGAAACCAGGAAAACAAACAGAACCGCACCAAGGCCTGCTGCAAAAAAGCAAAGATGGCAGAGACTCTGACAATCCAGAAGCTCTTTTTGAAATCAGGTCTTCGTCCTATGTGCCAAAAAGAAATTGCACAATGCCAGTGCACCTGCGGAAGCAAGCCCCAGTCGGTTGAGGTGGCGAGAAGCCGCCATGGCCATCGAAATTGCTTGCAATGGTCCAGTGAGTTCTTGCTGAAAGCTAGCGAGGCTGCACTAAAATCTGTTTCTTGACATCTGGCATTCTGCAAGTGGTCATGCCCATGCCGACCAGCTCATGAACCAAGGTGCAGAGAGGAGCCGGTCTCCCATGACTTGCAAGCACAACCACCCAGGCTAGCAGAAAAGACAGCTGACCTGGAAGGCAGGTGTGGCACCTGTCAAGCTTTGCCAGGCTCAACACACCTTCGATCATGCTCAAGGCGAGCATGAAAACCGCGACACACACGGCCTGGAGGCAGCTGGTTGTCGCAAATGAGCTTCATCTGCGGCTCTCCGCTGTCCTTTTTGGATCACCCCCTGCACTCAGGGCATTAATCAACTTCCCGTATCCTCGGAGCTGAAGTCAGTGACCTGGATCTGGCCCTTGGCCTCCAGTATAGACCTCCCCTTCCTGAGGAATGTCAGGTGCATGTGGGAGGTTTTGCATGGCACCTGGCCACGACCCTTGGTTCTTCCCAGTCCCCAAACATCTAGTTCAGTCCGATCGCCCAACACTGGTTGATACTGGTTGCAGCAGCGCGGCTCGATAGGCTGCTCCACCTTCCAGTCCTCGTTTCAGCTACCCGCAGACAAATGGATGCTTGGCGCAGTTGGCGCAGCTGAGGGTTTGACTAAATCGATTTTGAGTTCGAAAATGGGCTGGGCTTTGCCACCTTCAGCTGCCGGCCAGAGAACAGCAAACAGTTCTGGGTGACTTGGCAGGCACCTTTCAGTGCCAGTGCACAATCGCCTTTGGTCTCGACGCGGAAGAAGCCTAATCATGTGCACTCTATTTTATCTGTCCCACATCTCTCGCAGCTCTCTCTCTCTCTCTGGGCGCGGGTGCCGCAGGAGTCGATCCAAACCCACGATTTGGGAGATACAACAGCTGCAGCTAAGGGTCTCATGGTGGCACCCTCCGTGCCCTCCAGTGGGATCTGAGCTTCCTTGAAGGTCTTCCTGGGCTGACCATACACCAAGCACTTGCCCCGCTGCTGCCCTTGAAGGCCAAGAGGCTCCAGGAATTGCTTTGCCCACTCATCACGATTCTTCTCGTCCCACGCCATCGAGGCTCAGTGAACTGACCAAGCTATCCGGAACTTATCAAGGATCTTGGAATGTGGAATCTGCTGCGTGCTGCTTGCTGTTGGGGGTTTGTTGCTCGAGCCGCAGCTGAGCAAAATTTGTGAGGACCGCGAGAAGTCAGCGTTATTTCGGACACGTCTCCAAGCTACCCAGCCCGGGTGCCTCTGGCCAACGAACTGGGCGGCTGACCAAGTCGAAGTGATAGTTGTCCAGCGCTAAGACTGTCGCCTTCTCGGACTTTACCACGACCGTCCTGCTTGACACTGGACTGAATCTAACAGCGGCTACGGAGCGAGCCTTGTTGCTGGCACCATGTCGGCCAGTTGTTTCTCTCCAACCCTGACAGTGACCACAAAAGCAAGCAGTGTGGGATGGACATGTTCATTGGGTCCCTCCCTGGCTTGCACGTCTCTGCAGCCAAGTGGCCAGTCGCCCTTCAGCAGGCCCGTCTTCCCCTACCAGGACTCAACTCCAGATGTCAAGACACTGTGTGTGTGAGGACTTGCAAAATTTGAGGGGTCAAGCTTGCAAGCTGTGGTACTTCTGAAAAAAGGCAAACTGAGAAAACACTTCGGCGTAGACATATGCTTCACATGCGCCTCGTCGTCTTCATCATGATCCGTGACGGTACAGAAACCTCAAAACATTTTCTTTGGGCGACGCTGGCAGACAGTGACGGCCCAGAGAAAAGCGTAGCCTCTGAGCATCTGGCCGCTTACAATCAGGAAAAGCATACCTTCATCCTCGCCTGAACAGGTTGCTGCTGCTTTCACCATCACGCGTCTCACGCAAAAAGCAAATTCCTCCCAAGCAAGTGACAGCTGATCCGTCTACCATGATGGAAGCTTGGCCCGCAGCCCCTCACGCACAGGAACTCGTCCTTGTCCAGGACAGTTTCCTGCGAAGAAGCAGAACGTGATGGTCCTAAAGCCAATGCAAAATCCCAGATCGTTCAGGCCTCGAGGGCCCCGGCGAGGACGGAAAGGAGCGCCAAATCCACCTGCTCAATGGCACGCACAAAACAAAGAACACGAAGGCTTCAGCACAAAAGATTGTGCTGCCTGCTCTCGGATGACCGGCACTTGGTGGAGCATCATGCTGTGCCTTGGGCCGGCCATGTGGCACAAGTCTGCCGATTGGCTCTTGAAACTCTAGCGGACAAGAGATGCCAAGAGGCTCTTTTGCTTTCAGCACGGCAGTGCTTTGCAGCATGTCCTGTGCTCGGCACTTGCGCTGCACTTGCGCAGATCTGTGCTGCCTTGCTTGGCCTTCCATGTCATACAAGCCATTGTCCTTGAACATGGTGCGTGGCAACACCCAAAGCCTCCCAAGTCGAGATCAGCGACAGCCCTGAACTGTAAACATGCGGTCATAAGAACTACAGTTAGCACTTCGGCCTTAGCTGTCATCCTACAGCCGAAACAGAAATATTGCCTGCTGATCTTCTAAGCTCCTCAGAATACAGCCCTATTGCACAAGTGACTGCAGGCTCCAGACCACGTCTGCCGTCTCAAAACACATGAAAATAATCACCACATCAAGTGAACGAGGGAGCTTGGCATGTCCCATTGCTTGCCTGCAGTCGCGCGTGGCTTCGATAGTCGCCTGAAAAGGTGACAGCATGACTGGCCATAGCGACAAAACGACCTTGAAGAAGTTATGTCCAACACCTACCGTACACACTACCCGGCCGTGCGCGGCTCGTCGTAAAGCAGGGCGAGCTCTCCGAAAGTGTCGCCAATGCGCAGCCTCGAAAACTGAAGTGTCGCAGCAGAACTTCCAGCTATGCTGCACATGTACAGCGCGAACACGCCCAGGAAGCAGGCACAACCTCGAACGTTACCAAGTCCACCTCAAGAGAAACTGCCAAGACTGCTTAAAACAACCCAGCGGGCATGAAGCAACTTGGTGCTGCCTTGAGCAAACCCTCCTGCACAATGAAGAGGGCAGTGCCAAGGTCGCCCTTCCTTATGTTCAGAAAAAACCGACGGACTGTAGGCTTGCAGGCTGAATCCGAGAATGACACTTGAACACGTGAGTTCCCTGCGGAACCTGAGGAGTCAGTGATATGACATGTCATACTGCTGATACCCTGCAGCTGCTCGCCTCAATAAGATGGGTCCCGTCCACAACTTGGTTACATTGCTGTTGCGTGAGGCCGACAACCTGGTACGGAGTAAGAAAATGCATGAACTTCAAGCACGGAAGCGCAACCGCAGTGCGTGCTCAGAGCTTGCACAATCCGTTCACAAAATTCTCAGATTAGGTTTGAGACTGCGATGTGCAAAACTGATACTACCTAGCCAGCTTGCACTGGGCCTGCCTCAGACAAGATCTTGTTGTCCTTGAGGCCTTTCGAAATCATCTGCCTGACAAGTACAGCCGTCATCAGTCGTCCCAAGCGTCTGCAGCTTGATGCACTACTCTGGGTACCCCTCCGTGCATCCTCCCTCTGAACATCATCCAGCAGCCTGTCTTCAGCGGTCTTCTGGTAGGCCAGCACTCGCTTGTGGCCGGTGATGGCGCACCTACATAAACTGAACACACCACACGGCGTTCAAAGGATATCTTCAACTTCATCCAATGAGCTCGCCACATGTCAGGTGGTGTGGACCCCCTGAGATTTAGTTCCATTCATTGCTTCAATACAATAATATCTGCCGAAGTCTTTGAAAAGAGGTCTGCCAATGCTACAGCACGTGGCCAATGAGCTCCCAACTTCCTCTTGCCAATCTGGAGAGCAGTGGAAACAGAGCCAATCATCTTGCGAGCCTGCCGATTCAGACTGGTAACTCAAACAGTCAAGGCCTCAGCAACACGCCTTGACGCGATCGTCTCTCTTCATTTTGGGCTGCACGATGTTAAGGCCCTGCATGTTCGGTCAGGGGTGCTTACGGATAACTACCGGCAGGCGTTCTGAGGGCTGACCTACTGCCTTCCTGAAGAATGGTTGACAGTGTCAAAGAGAAAATCGGGCGAGTGCATTTGTTCAGCGCTCTAGCCCAGGCTCGAGTTTCTGCTCCCCCGCTGCACCGGACCAGTACTAGAGTTACACGCATCCTCTGAGCCAGCCAGCGTCAGAAGCGATAAACGGCATGAAACAGCTTTCGAGGACTTTGCACCGCTCCTCGAACTTTGCCTTCTCGACACAAAGTGTCCGGACCTCAGCACGCATCATGCGGAGAAAGGATGAGAAAGGCCTGAAAGCGAAGCGCATGATCCACCCATCTCTGGGGCTTTCTGCATGTGCTCAGGGCGCGGCATCTGCGCCGGCCGTGAGCTGAGAGCTGGCCTTGCCCTGCCCTGCCTTAGTGCCAAACCTAGCTTCGTCAAGCTTACGCAGCACACAGACGGTTGCCGAGGTTACTGTAGGAACTCAGAGCTTTAACCACAAGCACTGCGTGCCTGTAGAGCCTCTGCGCCAGTGTGATCGCCGGCACTGCCAGCAAGAGAGCCGAGAGATTTGGCAAATGCACAACAGCTATCCCCGGAAGCACGCTGCCTGCAATCAAAAATCTAACCCAAGCATCGCTGAGTCTGGACAACATCTCATCCTGCCTGAGCGTTCCCGCCAGCTGAGGCACGGAAATTTGAACATTGCCTGAACCCCAGCTGATCAAGGATTCAAATCTGCGCAAGATTTGTCAAAGAATGCCTCTAAGATTCTGCACACATCCCTGGGCACCTGAAAGAATGATGTGTAGTCCCTCCATCTGGACTCCATAATTTACGATCACGGCATCCTGCAGCACGTGGCCAGAGCTTAGGGGAGATGTTTTGCCCATGCTACGAGCACCTGTTCGTAGGCTCTGACTTGGGCAATCTCCGCCACCTGACAGCTGAAGCGCACATAGCCACTGCGATGATTACGCCACAACTTGACCAAGGTCTCAAGGAAAGAGGGAGACATGGGTTTCAAAAAAACCTCCTTGTGTCCCAGTAAGCCACCAACTCGCTCAAGGTCTTTCTCCTCCAGGCTGGCAAACATGGGCACCTTCCTGGCAGGGGGAAAAAAGCCAAGGGTAACCAGAACTTCTTGGGTCCTGCTTCAAACTCTGATCCAGCTCATGAGAGTTGCTCAAGATGTGGGCGCACTTGGAGAGCTTGAGTTTCAAGAGTTCCCGGTGCAGAACATGCACCAAACGACGCAAAATGAGGTAAAACGATGTGAAACAGCATCGCAGCACAGCTGCAGCACAAAAGCCCTTCCAGCCGCCTCAACTGCTGCAGCGTCTCGTCTCTGCCCAGAGGTGTTCCCTGCACCAAGGCCACACCGCATGCAACACCAACATCTCTCGAAGGGCGCAGGATTCCAGACGATGAGAGTGTAACAGGATGTGCAGAGATTAGGGGTCTGCCTAGTGGCCAGTTGCGAGGAGAGTTTAACCATCAGATCTGCTTGGCTATCAAGGTCTTCGCTCAACAGTTACAGTCGCATGTTGCAAACACATGCAGAGGCAAACATAGGCGGGCGAAGCAAAATCAAGCACAGCTGGTCAGCCTTTGGAACCTGGGTCATCTCTGTCACACGCTTGCCTCTGGCACGAAAGTTTCACAACATCCTTTGCTCAACCAAAATGTCGATGCCGCTGACGAACCATCATGCTGGGCCCGGCACGACTCTTGCGGCTGTGCCTGGCGTATGATGGCACCCTCGCTGAAGCCCGTTGATCGCGAGCATTGCTGAGGTCAATGCTTCGGCTCGGCCAGCGTCCCTGGCATCAGAACAATTCCAAGCTAAACTGGGTCTCACAGCTCACACATGCACAAACGCCTTGCGCCACACTACCTCAGCCCAGGCAAAGAGAGCACACAGCACCAACAAATGAAAGAGAGAAATCCCGCGCAAAACCTACGAAATCTCAGTGGCTAGCGCGAGCCGTCATTTTCGGAGTCAGGCTCCGTAGACTGGGATAATGGCGGCACGGAGATAACTTGGGTAGCAGGTGCTGCATGATGAAAAACAGGCCCTTGGCCGGGCTCATGGGCATCATGCCGAGCTGGGTGCTGGAGTCTGACTTCAGAAGTGCCATGGATGCTGACGGCGAAGCCAAAACTGAGCAAGCATGCAGAGCCATCTTCTGATCGAAGCTCCATGATCGAGTGAGTCTGCCACAAGAATCCGAAGGAACCAGCGCAGCATCTTGCGGTTCGACAAATGCTGGCGCTTCTGAAGAAATTGGAGGCGGATGCTGTGCAGGGCCACCTAATCACACAAGTGGGAGGTTGAGGCCTCTGCACGCACTGCAATGCAAGGACTAAACTGAGAATCCGAGAGAGCAAACAGGACTAAATCATGAAAAACAAAGCAGAGATGCGAGAAGCTGAATGCGCACCAGCGCCACCACCACCACCACCACCACCACCACCAGCAGAACATCCCAACCCTCACTTGCCTTCTGCATGAGCCGGCTCCCTCGGTGCAAGGCAGCTTTTGTTTGATGCAGCATGGCCTCAAGTCCGTGGAAATCTGAGGTATGTGCGACCGGGCCTTCTGCACCTGGTTTGTAAGCATCAAATCACGAAAGTTCTTCTTGACTGCCACAACTCACACACTCAAAGTGGCACTGGGCTTTTCCATGCCACAAGCAGGAGGTTGGGTCTTGCCCAGGCTATCGTCCAGACTGGCGTTCAAGCTGCTGCTTCAGTTCGCGCTGCTCGCGCTCGGCCTGCTCCTGATGAGCCGCAGAACGTGGACTGACATGTGACATGCATCAAAGCAATGATTTTCTTTCAATGCCTCTTCAACCTTGTGCTCACAGCCAAGCCTCCCTGACATTCTCTAAACATGACCGGCCACAAAGACGGAGAACACAACTTTCAACAGATTAAGCAGAGCTTTCGATCTGCAAACAATTACGCAGCTGAATCATGATCCGGACTGTAGCTGGCCAGCCTTTCTACAATACCGGACTCGCCTGACGTAGCCGCACACGCTTCGCAGCGAAGTGCTCCTTGTCCTCCAGCAAAGCCGAGAAAACCAAGGAACTGCCGAGCACAGCATGGCAGTATCTGATCCTGGCCGTCCAGATTGTCGCCCGTTGATGTCATGGCATATGTTACAGCGCTGCAGCCCACAAAAGCAGCCATCCTCGATTGCATGCGTCAGCATGATGCAAAGACCTTGCACTGTGCACGAAAGACTTGGGCTTACGGCTGAGAGCGCTTAGCGCTCTGAAGACTGCATACCAAGCCACCATGGGCCCGCATATGCTTTGGCGCTCGCGGGTTGACGGCGGGCATCGTCCTACAGCAAACGCCCAAGTTGGACAGTTCCGTGGCATAACATGAAAATCCTTCGATTTTCTGTGCAACATGTTCGAGCATTCACGAAACTACAACACTCAGCCCTTGAATTAATACAGCCCTATCTGCACTTTCGAGGCTTGAGCTTTAGGGTTTCAAGGGTTTCGTGAGGAGGGCTTGTTTGAGAGCCTTTGCAACCTGCAGGGCACTGTGACAGGACAGGGCAAAAGTCAATTCAAGCTGGGGACTTGCATGGCTCTACGTAGCGCACGGCAGATACTGGTTCAAAAGCAAGCAACCCCAACTGCGTAACAGGCCAATCTACTTCTTTAGGACACAAGACCTGCAACATCTTGTTACCACCATCCACCATGCGCTCACAAAACGAAGATGAGAAGCGCAAAGATGCACACCAACTTCAGAGATGGCTCTCAGTTGGGGCTTTGATGGTTTAGGCTTTCCGCATTGCCAACACGAAATGACTTTGGCAGCTTGGCATCAGTACATTGGCGGAAGTGGCTGGATAGCTTGCGTCTCAAGAACAAAAACGAAATGTCAGCGCCCGGTCATCACAGTGGAAAAAAGGAATGCAAATGAAGCTTAGATTTGTCCCGACGATTTTGCCCCTCTCTCCTCATCTAGGAACGTGTCTCAGAACGCACGCTTACCAGCTTGTCCTACACTCTTTGGCCAATCACAAGATAATCATCATTCATGACTGTGTGCTGCCCGTCAGCTTGAGGGCATCTTTCGCTTCTATGGCACCATGTAGCTCAATCACAACAAATTCCGAGGGCCAACGTCTGAGGCTTCAGCCCACTCCTTGCTCTTGTAGGATGGTTGGGGGCTGCCCCACTGCCTGCACTGTGACACTGGCAGAATCAGCTCAAGCCACCCACGATCCGATCATACTCCCAGCCTGCAGATAAACAAGTCACGGATTTACCCAAATGTCTGCAGTGTGTGACCCTATATGCAGAAGCTGCAAAGCATACAATAAAGAATGAAGTTCAACTTTGCGTCCCCTAGCCTAGGCGTCGGGATGGGTCCCTGCGTTGGCAGTCCGCGCACTTCCCGTAACAGTTGACCGTAGGCGTCCTGCACCACGTCAACATTCAGCAGCCGTGACTACCCAACTGGAGACAAATCAAGAAAGCTGGCAAGCATTCCTATACTAACTTGGCAGATTCAGCATCATACGCAACGCCAAAACAAAGGCTTCAAAAACTACATGACGAATAACAGGCGAACCGATTCTCTGCAGTTGGCATGAATGTCTCGTGCCAGGAAGCCTGCAAGACATTATCTTTGCCACGGGCCTCTCTGACATCTGGCTTTGCTGGCACTTTGTTCCCAACTTCTTCTAATTGACTGTGTGACAACCCGACTTCAGATTGGACTTCGGATTGAATCCGCATGGTCTTAGTACAGGCCTCGTGGACCAGATGCATAAAGCAAGTCAGGAGATATCTGCGGCCTGCTACGGGGATCCTGTGCTTCCAACGGATTGTGATTTACCGAGGCTTTTATGTTGAATCGAACTTGCACAAGGCAGACAGACATTAGGAACAAAGTATTGCGTCCGCAAATCATGTGAACAAAGGGGCAGAGGCTGTATTCCACTCCACGTCCACAATGTAAACCTTGCATTTTTGGTTCGAAACTGTTCTTCGTAGCGGGTGCACCTAAGATCTCCCGGCAATTTTTGATAGAGTGCTCGAGGAAATCATCTTGAACCAGCACCTTTTTGCTTCCGACGAGGTGCTGGTTCAAGTCTTCACCAGAAGAGAATTCTCAAATGTGACAGATTTCTGAAGAAGCCAGATGTGAGCGTTCTGGGTTTGAGGAAACTGTTCACTTGGGTGCTGCCCGTTTCTCAAACCAAACCAGCAGGCAATACTAAAACATTGATTGCTA